TTATTATTGTTTGAGACCTGCTGGAAAGGTTGAGAGGTTGTTTTTTTTTAAACACATTTGTACTTTGAGCAAGCAAAATATACAAAAATAGCTAGGAAAAAACACTCACTCAGTTGTTTCTACTGAACAAAATTCAGCACAGATCTTTATCAAAATCACTACATTTGAAGCTCTATTAGACCTCAAAATCTGCACAAAATACTTTTACTTTTTACTCTTTAAGAATATTTTTAAACAGGTACTTAACAATTTTTTCATGTGGTACTTTGACTTGAGTATGTTTTTGCATTAGTATCTGCACTTTTACCTAAAGGCGCACTCTGTAATTTTTCTGGTAAGAGTCCAGCACCTGGTTGTGTCCATGGAGATATGCTAGGGAGGTTGCTTTTCCCTGGAATGTACCACAGTATGGCATTAAACTTGCTTATTATTTAAAGATGCATTGTGTAACTTTTCTAGTGGAGGGTCTGTCAAATGATTTTGTCCATGGATATGTTCTTGCTTTGTCTGAAATGTTTCACAGTATGGCATTAAAGCTTTCTATCTTCATGGAGACCAAACCAGACAGAGTTACAAGTCAGATCTGTGGAGAGGCAACCCCGCTCACAGACAGAATATCTGTTTTTCTAGGTATTTTTGAACTATAACATGTAATTGAATAAATATAAGGTATAGCTGTTTAATGTCACACTGTAGAACATTCCAGGCAGAGCGATGACATCTCCATAGAAACAAGCAGGTTACAGACCCCAAACCAAAAAGTTACACAGTGTAGCTTTAAGCGTTTTTAGATACCATTTGAAACGCCAACAAGATTTCCAGAGGATTTTCATGTTCGTATGCAGTAGTTATTCAAAGATCTCAGTCCTTAAGAGACTTGTTATTTCTGTTCTGTTTGGAGTAATAGGGCAAAGATCTTAATTTTGAAATGTTAAAAAACAAGAGGTTCTAGGGTTGTGTTGTAATTTGCTGTTTTAACATCTGTGTACTTTTCAAAAAGCTCGCAATAAAGGCCCGGGTCTGGGTTAAACACTGCTCTAGCGTTGCTGCCGTCCAATTATATAATCAATATTTTCTCATGAGGAGTCTGGAATGTAAAAAAAATATATATATATAAAAATTACCCTGCAAAAACACGAGTGAGAGGAGATGCGAAGAAGAAGAAAAATAGCCTGTGTGTGGGTTGCGCTCAGATCCATTTTGAGAATCAGACGCATTTGAAATTCAGCCTGCGCCTTCCTCTTCCTCTTCTACATACCCACTCCACCTTTCACCCCCAACGCGCAGTATAAGGCCGTATTTACAGGAAACGCAACGCCAATCTCTGCCTTTGTGTACTGCGCTAGCCTCACCACCACCACCACCACCACACCCCGGGACATACACATCCTCTTTTCTCCTTAGTAGCCACTCCTGACATCATTAGTTTCTCATAACAGTCATTTACATGTGGCGGCAGTGAGTGAGCAATAATCACTTTAGGGGGAACTAATTTATTTTCTATTAAAGGAGAGTTACATCAGGGGTGAGCGAAACAAGCCGACTCTGCACAGCCCAGGGTCTATCGAAGCCTTAAGTGGACTGAAACATATTTGGGAGAGAGTCGTGCAATTACCTAAATGCACACTTTGAAGAGGTTTCAATCAGCGCTGGGAGCCTGAGCGACTGTTTTGCTGATGGTATCCGATGCATTTGTAAGTGTAAGCATTGGGCTGTGTGCAGCGCAGCAGACCACACATGCTCAAAATACACACACACACACACACAAAAACAAACTACTGCTACTAACTGTGTAACATGTTTTGCCGTTAAAAAAAAAGTAGTTTCTCTCAGTAATCAGGAAGTGGTACTCAATTTTATTACTTTAAGGTGCATTTTGTAATAGGGATGTAACAATAACCAAAATATCGTGATACCGTATCGTCAAAAGTCTCACAATAATATCGTGATCTGTCACAATGTATCAAATTACAAGTTCCTTTGCTTAAATGCAAGGTTTTACAGTAGCAACGGCTTATAAACATAAGGAACTACATATCCCATGATTCATTTCAGTCCAAACAACATGGAAGAAATATGTTTTGTACTTGAATTCTTGGGATTATGATGAAAATAATTCACACCAAAATCTTATCAAGGTATTTTAAATGCAACTATCTACAATTATATCAGCCTCTCCAAAATATTGCAATAAATATCATACAGTGAAATGCATATCGTGATAATATCGTACTGAGAGATTTGGATATACTTTGTAACTTTTCTGGTGGGTCCTGGAATGTTCCGTGGTATGACATTAAACATATCCATCTAGCATTTATTCATTACGAGCGTTTCTATTGCTCAAAAATACAATAATTCTATCTGTGAATAGGGACGACTCTCTACAGATCTGAATTGTTAACGTAGGGTAGTGCTGTAACCTGCTCGTCTCCTTCGTGATAATAACAGTTTAATCTACACTGTGGAATATTCTAGACAAAGCAATAACGTTTACGTGGAGACAAGCAGGTGGCGGACCCTCAACTAGAAATGTCACGTAGTACACATTTAAATAAAAGTACAGGTACTGATGCAAAAAATACTTGAGTAAAAGTATTACCACACACATGCTCTCAACACATAGAAAACAAGCAAGGACTAACTGTGCTTCCGTGTTCTGTTCCCTCTTTCCTATGTACTCTCAGCCCTGTGTTACCTTATTTCTAAGATTTTGTTTCAAAATGAAACTCTCAGTCAAGTTTTTATTTTTATACACATTTAAAGGGATGATTCAGAGTCATTTCACCCTAGGGTCCTTTGCACCATGACCTCTACATTACATATGTAGTGCTGCTGTTGGATAATAGGTTGGGTGTAATTGACGACCAAATTGGGAGAAATGGGGATACATTCAAATTGCAAATTGATGATAAAAGGAAAGTAGGCCTAATTTAAAAAAAAAATAATAATAATAATAATTAGAAATGAGGGAACAAAGGGCTGAGGGAACATAGGCACATTCCCACATGTTCTGAGATTTAAAAATATATACAGTATTTTCTACGGACGGTATCATTATGAAGTTGCCGATACGATACATACCTCAATACATAGACCATGATACGATATACAGTATTTCAAATTGATTCAACACAGTTCAGGGAAAAACAAAGGCTAAATCATGGCTGTGATACTAAAAGTCTAAATAACACACATTTTTCTCATCAGAACAGAAAAAAATATGCCTAAAAATACTCTCTTGGTGATATATCGATACAGGAGCCAACGATATCGATACTGTATTATCAAATTAAATAATACAATACATCGATAATTTCAATATTTTTGCACACCCCTAGTATTTTCACTCAACAATTAGGCGAATCCTTAGACATAGACAAAATGTATTGATCCACAAGGGATATTATTTGGCCAGTGGGGAGAAAAAGAACACGTAAAACAATCTTTAGCTTTACGAAAACATTTTTAGATTTGGCTGAAAGGTTTTGCAGCTGTGTTCGAAGCAGCACCCTCACATGCCCGCTGAGTTTACTTTTGGTTTCGGATGATATAGGTATTGTCAGAAGATCATCCTAATACATTTTGTCTTTCAGTCTGCAGGGCCCAACATCAAAAGGAGAATAAAGAACGTAATGAAAACCTTGAGGAAAAGTTAAGAGCTTTGGCTTGGGTGTTATCTGTTTTATCCGGGCAGCCTACAGCATCTCACTGGCAATAAGAAGTGAAGGCCTGAACATCTTGATTCCTTTACAGCGCAGTGAAACAAGATGCTGATTCATCTCTTTTAACTAATCAAAGTTGCTTAGCTAATCTGTTTTCTTTCAACAAATCCACTTTCTGTGAGCTTAATCCATTTGTCCTAGTTAGGCAGCCATTCTGTTAGCTAAACCACTGCACCAGACTACAGAGGGACAGAGGCGCTCATTCTCCAACAGGCTCCTACAGCTCCACTCAAACTGTGACACATACAGGACTACATTCATGTAATACTCCCTACAACTGTACAACTCACCTCTACATAACAGATAATGTTCTCTACAACTGTACAACTCACCTTTATATAACAGATAATACTCCCTACAACTGTACAACTCACCTTTATATAGCAGATAATACTCCCTACAACTGTACAACTCACCTTTATATACCAGATAATACTCCCTACAACTGTACAACTCACCTTTATATAGCAGATAATACTCCCTACAACTGTACAACTCACCTTTATATAACAGATAATACTCCCTACAACTGTACAACTCACCTTTATATAACAGATAATACTCCCTACAACTGTGCAATAACTCACCCTCTGCCTTCAACTGTACAACAACTCACCCTTTGGTAACAGATAACACTCCTTACAACTGTACAACGACTCGCCCTCATATAACAAATAATACTCCCTACAGCTTTACAGTAATTCACCCTTATGTAACAAATAATACTCCCTACAACTGTACAACAACTCACCCCTATGTAACAGATAATACTCCCTACAGCTTTACAACAATTCACCCTCATATAACAAATAATACTCCCTACAGCTTTACAACAATTCACCCTCATGTAACAGATAATACTCCCTACAACTGTACAACTCACCGTCATGTGTCACATAATACTCCCTACAACTGTATAACAACTCACCCTTATCTAACAGATAATGCTCCCTACAACTGTACAACAACTCATCCTTATGTAACAGATAATATTCCCTACAATTGTACTTTTTTTTACGACCTCTTGTATATAGCTGGGATATATTTTTATTACTTTATTTTTGTATTTTATTTTATTTTGTTTTATTTTTACTTTTACATATTTAGAATTTATTTACTATTTAGAATTTATTATTACCATTTCTGTTATGTGTGCGCTACTGTCTTGAGTCATTTCCATTGTGAATCCTTAAAGTTTGTCTAAGTCTATAACCCATTCTTCCTATTCATATTTTAATTTGCAACTTTTTTTCTTTTTTATCCATTTTTTTCCAGCGTGCAAGAGGAAGGAGCAGGAGCAGAGCAAGATGGAGCGTAACCAGGGCCCCAAGCGAACCCGGCTGGTGTTCACAGATTTGCAGAGGCGCACGCTCATGGCTATCTTCAGGGAGAACCACCGTCCAACCAAAGAGCTGCAGGTCACCATCTCCCAGCAGCTTGGCCTGGAGTTGTCCACAGTCAGCAACTTCTTCATGAACGCCCGCCGACGCAATCTCAACAAGTGGGCAGATGAGGGGCGCCCATCATCCACGGGGTCCTCGGGGTCCAGCGTTTCCTCCTCCGCTGTGTCCTGCAGTACGGCGTGAAGATGCTCCAACCACAGGAAGGGGCAAGGGGGCACATAGACTGGTCTAAGGCAGAGATCAGCCGTAATAAATGTCCTCCTCGTTATTTGTAGGAGTGACGGAGCCAGCTATTTAGATGATTTTATGATGTATTGTTGAAGCATTTTTTTCCAAACCAAAGTTGATCACTCTCTTGAAATGAAAGGGAGCGGTATCCTATAGTGATATGAATGCAGGATGTGAGATCCTGCCTGTATAGTTAAAGGGTGCCAAGATGATTTGGCTCCTGGAGGAGTCACACCCTTACATAGACACCATCTCATTGCATTATTTTGTAGAATAGAGATAATGAGGGTATCGCAAATCAGGAGGAAGCATATTTTGGTGTACCTTCAAATCTATAGTCATCTCTCCAAATGTGAAGAATCAAGGGGGGCTGGAGAGTACCATTGTGTAACTTCTTTAATCAGAAGTGTTCACCATCATCCAAAGACACTAATCCTCCCCAATATTATCCTGATTTTTTTCAAATCAAAGTAAAGGGAAAGGCATTTTTTATTCTACAATTTTTTCTGAATTTCTTAGCATGTGTTGTCGTGATGATGTTTCCCTGGACTGTACCTCAGTGTGAAGCCTGGAGTATCACAGGGCTTCTTCAATGTCCCTGCTGTCAATCATTCACCATCAACTGGTTCCTTTCTTGAATTAATCAGAGTTTTCAAGAAGGAACCCCATTGGTCATACCATTTTGCCAGGACTGAATAAGTGATTGCAAGGAGAAAGTGCCGGAAAGAGAAAAAATTGTGCAACTGGTGCAAAACACTGAAGATACTGAAGGAGCTTCCATGCAAAAAAAGCTCACAGCCATTTTTGTCTCACATTTAAGCCAAAAAATAAGAAAATATTTCGCCAAAAATTCCAGAGGAAAACAGTACATCGGACACAATGTATAGTGATGTTGTAGTATTTTTTTCACTTGCATTTCCAACTATGGCTAAACATCTGCTCCATAGCAAAGGTTTTTTTTACAGAAAATATGAGGAGGAATGTGATTCTTTCTGCTCGTTTTGTACAGATTTCAAGCACATCACTATTTATAGATCCCGTTGGAAGTGCAAGGCGGTCGTTTTAGCCTTGGCAACGCCATTTGTTTTTCCTTTCCATGAAGGCTTTAACATGCCTCTTTATAATAGCCAAGTGAAGAAAGAACGTTTCAAATGCAATTGCTGATATGATCAATGTATTTATTAACGCATTAGGGTATTTATTTTTGTTTATTTCCTTGCTATTTATTTAGTTATTTATTTATGCTATCTATATACTGTAAGTATTTATTTAATGATGCTCTGTATGTCTGTGTGAAAACTGAAAACTTTTTTCTGATGGGCACTTTTAGCTGTAGAATCCCATCGTAATACCAAAGATAAACATTGCCTCCCTGAATGTACGGCCTAAATCCCCAAACCCTGTACCCAGTCCTTCCCCACTCACTCAGTGAAGTTACGTGTCTGTCTGGAAGGCCAGGCTCTTTTTCTTTTACAACTATTGAAATTTCGTTCTTGCAACTCTCTCTGATGACACAAGGCCAAAGCTTATTTGAATGTTGTGCTAATGAGTAATAGTAGAAATAATTACAGTAATAATGATGACAATGATGATGTGATCTTGCAGACATCACAGGTTGCTAGTAAAGTGTTGTTCAGACCAGTGCCATCTGGCAGAGTGTGTGGAGCATCTGGGGACGCACTAACAGCTCTGTCTGAAGGCCTTGAAGTCCATCCAGGTCGCCTATAGCAGCGTACCATGTGTCTGTCCAGGGACATGTGCGGCTGTGACCCTCCTCCATTTGCCCACCTGACTGAAACCCACCCACTGGTCCCCAGTGCAGTCCTGACTCTGGCTCTGTCCCCTGTGTGTCCAGCTCAGTGTAATACCCATGTCCTCCACATGCCAGAACCTTTTGCCAGTTGTCTCAGTTCCCAAACTGTTTGGGGGTTTAGTAATAATCATCTGGGTTTTAAAGAGGCCTTTAGGAGCTTAGAGGTCTCGGTGAGGTTTACTTCTGAGGATTGGAGGAAGGATTCGTGCATTGTCTGAGGTGGGCTGGATTGCCTTTTGATTAGAGTTTAAGATTACTGTTGTGCTTTTTGCTCCAATTCTTACTTATCCAGAAAATCCTCCTAAATTTGAGATATTATTTTCAGTCTTTTAGGCTCAGTAGATCTATGTTTGGCCAATTTAGAGTACTGAAAGTTTCCAAGGTGCTAAAACGTCCTGTGATTTACAGGGATGTCAGTTAAGACTCTTTGACCTCTTTGTTACTGAAGTAATTGTCTTTATGTACCACTTAAGACCTGATCTATGCAAGTTTACTTGCAAACATCTCCTGATTTTTTTTCTTGTTTCAGACAATATTTTGTAAAATATTTTCTGGTCAAATTGCCCAAAAGCCTGTACTTTGCCCCCTGCCAGTGCTGCCAAAGAGTGTCCTGTTCTCCACCCTTCCACTCCTCTTCTGCTTTCTTCTGTCTCTCCTGTCTTTAGCGTTGGAAGAGGCGCGCGTAGCCAGGGCCCCTTCACAGTGTGCACTTGAAAGACAGACCGTCATGAAAGAGGCCATCGACTTTTTCACCGACTTCAAAGGGGAGTGTTTTTTCATCCTGTCTCCTCTCCGGGTATCTGGTCTGGGGTCCGCTCTTGGCGAGACCTGTGGGCTTTAGGGGGCATTCAGAAGGGCGGGGGTAGATCAGAGAGGAGGCTGAATCATCCAGAATGAGGAGAGTGGCAGGAGAGTGGGGAGGGAGGAGGCTTTATTGGAGGAACAGGAGGTGTCGGGGTAGTGAGGCATAGAGCGGAATTAAACTTTAATGAGCAACAATTGTAAGCACGCTGAGAGTGGAGGGGAGCAGTGGTAGGGATGTGCACCAGAGTCTGTTCTGGGGGGAGAAAAATTAAAAATAAAAGAGGCTGGAGGCTCCTCTGCCAACCCCTGCTTGCTTCTGTCGTTGTATCAAAGGAGAGGTGACACCTTTCAGGTTTGCCTTTGTCTCGCAGACTCTGGGAATAAAATGGAGACAGGGCTGTTTGTAGTGAGCCACCTTCTGCTCTGTGTCAAACACTGGAGCGCTTCTTACAGAGGGGAGAGGAAGGCACAAACACGGGGTCCAGTTGGGTGCAGCAGGTGCACCACATTAACATTTTAGCCTGCGGCTCCCTCTAGTGGCTTTCAGAGAAACTGTAAGGCCAAAAGCAGAGACTGTTGAAGGAGAAGAGTTCAGGCCTTGGACTAACAGTTCAGACAGAAGACATGTTCAAAGATTGTTTGGAGATGTTCATCTCTGTGGGAGGATTCAACATTGGCTTAAAGTACCTACTTCTTCATTGTGTGATAATTACTGTCGCTGAACTGTTTTCAGGACGATGCATTATCACCTATTTCTAAATGATCAGGAACCATTGTGTTTGCCCTAAATAATTAGTTTACACGTCAGGAGGGGAAGGGAGACTTGATCCCAAAGAGCTGGCCACTTTGAACCAAACAAACGAATGCAAGTCTGAACTGGGTGGGATTATAACTAAATAGCAGGAGATAATGTATACTTATGTTTTAGACTAAAAAGACAAAAAAGTATTTTTTGATAAACCAAAAAGAACAACCAAAGATTGATGGGTAACTGCTGGGTCTGTTTCTTGGGTAGTTTGAGCAGTTCCCTGTCAGAGCGAGCGTAGCACTCAGAGGACTCAGACGAGCATAGGAGGATTTCCCTGTGCTTGGGATTCATGTTACATAAGACAGTATTATGTTGAGCTGGAACTGAGAAACTGACATGAGGCAGCGTCTTCAGATGGAAGTCTTTTGACTGTGATCTCCATTTCCCTGCATCTGTCCCCCATCCTCACCCTCTGTGTACATGAAGACTTTACCCATCTACCTCAACTGTGTGCGATGTTGTGTGGCAAAGATTTTTCTTAACCAAAGAATCCATCCTGTCAGGATGTCTGTCTGTCTATCCTCTCTTTCTTGTCCGTTCATCCGTCTTTTCTTCATGCCTTTTACTCCAAACCAAATGTGCTGGAATCAATCTGTTACAGGAACCGAGTCGGCTCCAGTCCAGCCAAAGTCCAGTATGATAGTGTTCCATTGATTCATGTTCTGTATATAAAGAAATCATTCTCAAGACCAAAAAGAAGGAGGTGACAATCTAAGCAAGGAGGTTCTTGCTGTAATCAACGTTGCCTATTCCTTGTTTTTGTTTTTGTTTTTTTCCAAAATCATGACTTGCTGTATAAGAAAAGCCCAAAAATTCTCATTCAAAAGTTCAGAGGAGACAAAAGCTATTTTTCCACATTTGTAAACCACCCTTCCATCTTTTCTTTCCAAAATGTTTAGTGTAGTTGAAATCCTGTTTGATCCCACTGTTGTAAGTAGGAATTATTGAAATTCATAATAAAAGCTTTAACTGGGAATGAGCTGAGGGAAATATTATATTAGACTGAGTCTGACTTTCCTCAGCTCAGACCCGACCCACCATGCTTTATTGTGCCATTCTTGTTCATGTGTTAGACTTACTAATGAATGTGGCTAACCAAACCAAAGGCTTTAAAAAAGAAACACAACACTTTAAACGTCAATCATGGTGGGACATTTTGTATCAACAACTAAAGAAAATCCCTTTGAATACCTCATGTGAAAATTGTTTGTTGTGATGTTGCACTAAAAAAATAAAAACGACTCATTTGTAACCCAACCCCGTATCGTGTGGAGTTTTTTCTCCGCCTCGGGCCAAAGGGGGCAGCATGTTCAAGGTTCTAAAGGCCAAACTCCACACCAGTGTCTGGAAAAGGTCACCATTTTGTACTTTTACACTACGCACCTTTACACACACTTTTGCCCTGAACTTTGATTTCCAAAGAATGTCCTGTTATCAGCACAACACTTTATTTGCCAGTATTTAAAGGTGCACTGTGCAACATTTATAGTGGAGGATCTGTCATTTGCTTGTTTCCATGAACATGTTATTACTGGAATTGCCTGGAATGCACAGAATTTTTGTCTCCTTGGAAACAAGCAGCACGCCACAACAAGGCCAAGATCCAGGTCAGATCTGTGGAGAGACGACAGTTAAAATATATGTTTTTCAGGAGATTTTTAGAGCAACAAACACATCTGTAATGAAATAAACGCAAGATAAACCATTTTAATCCAATACTGTGGAACATTCTAAACAAAGCATAGCATCTCTATGGTGACAAGGTGACGTGCCCTCCTCCAAAATGTTACATGATGCACCTTTAAGTTTCACTTTTCCATATAAATTCATATGAAAAAGGTGATCAGATATAGAAAACAGGAATAGGTCAATAATATAAACTTACATGAAGCCAAATATTTACTACACTAATAACACGAACAAACACACGTATAGAAACACAAAGGTCCTGTGTTGTCATAGTTTTAGTGCAAATGGGGCAAATAGTGTTTGTCTGTAGATCCGAACGTTGGTGGTTCAAATCCCGCTCTTGACGTAAAAACATAATTGATCCACTGACCCACAGGTTGGTGGTGCGATTCCAGCTCCCACCGATGATTGCTGTGGTTGTGTCCTTGGGCAAGACTCATCATCCACTTCGTCCCCAGTGTCTGCGTACACTGGTGTGATTGCGTGATTGAATCCGTGTATCACTCGTTCATTTTTTTCAAATTAAAACCAAAAGTAAGAAAATGAAAAAACAACTATTTTCTTCATTATTTGTCTCCAAAACCAAAATGAAAAAACAGATGACGATTCGTTTTTTTCAATTTTGTGTTTAAACGAGTAATGGAAAAAATGGATAACGGCCATTTAAATAGTTGGGTTTTTTGTTGTTGTTTTTTTTTTTCGTTTTCTTACTTCTGGTTTTATTTTGAAAAACTAATGAACAAATGATCCATGGATTTGAGCGGTTTGATGACGTAAAGCGACTTGAAGGTGGAAAAGCACTGTATAAAAATGTGAACATACACTTCCATATTGGGTGAGAGAAAATGACAATATCAGTCAAAATACTAAAAACATACTTTTACTAGTAACACAATATAAATTCTGTTTTAATTTGATTAAAAAAAATAAAATAAAAGTTTGTTGTTCTCTATCTATACAGGACCCTTTAACATTTCCTGATTAAAATCTAGTTAGCCGGCTATGTGCATCAGTTACTCTTTAACTTTTCGGTTGGGGGTCCATCGCCTTCTCGTTTCTATGGATACGTCATTGCTCTGCCTGGAATGTTCCACAGTGTGATATTAAACAGCTCTACCTTATTTTCTTCAGTTACAGGTTCTATAGCTCAAAAATACCAAGAAAAGCAAGCATTCTGACTGTAAGCGGTGAGCGGTGCTGCCTCTCCATGGATCTGACCTGTAACTTGGTCCGGTTTGGTCTCCATGAAGATAAAAACAAAAAACAAAACAAAAAAACACCATAACTGTGAAACACTCCAAACAAAGCAATAACATCTCCACTGAGAAAAGCATTGGACAAACAATCCACCAGAAAAGTTACGCAATGCACGTGTAACTTTAATTTGTCGCTCATAAACAATAACTCAACCTTTAATTAGGATTTTCAAGAGATTAAACACATCTGCTGGTATATTCAAGACGCCTTTAAATCGCACCGTAAAACTCTCCATCACACTTAATGGCGTCTTCAGACTCGCTTCTCCCGCTACGTTTATCGACCGTTTGACAAATCAGTCCATTAATATATTTACCCTGGTTGATGAAGGCTTTGGGAGAAATAAAACCACCAACCTCCCTCCCTAGCGCTGTTGACGCGAGATGACGTTTGTGAAGGCTCCGGCGGTCACGTCAACAGCGCGCCGACCGGACAGAGATGCTCACCAGACGCGCGTATCGATTTTGCCGTAGCTTCAGTCGTAACATGTAAAAGCTAAATTGACCAACAGAGCAATTTCCTCAGGAGTCAATGAAAGCGTTTGAGGGCGTTTTATGGCAGATTTACTTCCAGTCGTTCATGTAAAATGTGATGTCCACCGGCGTCACGAGGAAATGTATTGACGGGTAAAGGTCTGGTCACTCTGATGTTGTGTTTAAAGGGCCTACATTATGCAAAAAATGGTGTCTTTTGAGCTTTAAACCGTGTTAGGATGCTGTTGCCTCATCAAAAACAAACCTGGAGTAGTTTTTATTTTAATTCACACGAGCTTAAAATGCTGTTCCACCTTGTGATGTCATCTAGTGGTAGTTTTAAGTTATCAGTGATACCTTTTGCCTTTTCGTGAAATCACACTAGGGAATTCCATACCTCTATGTACATGGGGTCACAACTAATCTAATGTACAATGTACAAATTGAAAATTATTGAACTTTTTTTTTTCAGCTTTTCTTGCTTCTTGATATAAGCTATAATTTATATTTACTAGTGATGTAATAATAACCAAAATATCGTGATATCATATCATCGGAGTTCTCAATATATCGAATTACAAGTCGCTTTGCTTAAATGAAGAGTTATGGTGCAGCAATAGCTAAAAAAAAAAAAGACAGAGGGAACTACACAGACCATGATCCTTTGCTCCATTTCAATGTAGATTATAAGAAGACATAACAGTTCTAAGCACTTTTAAGTCTTAGTTCTTTGGATTAAGTCTTGTCAAGGCATTTTAAGAGGAAAAAGTAGCATATTCACAGTTTTGTTTAGCCTCCAAAAAATACTGCAGTAAATATCATACCGTGAGATGTATATTGTGAAAATATCATAAATTTGGATATTGTTACATTCCTAATCATGAGCCTCCCCACCCCTCCCGTGAGCTTTCCCATGATATCGCAACAAATATGGTACCGTGAGGTTCATACAGTGACAATATCGAATTGTGAGACTTGAATATCGTTACACACCTAATATTTACACAAGTATTATCCAGTCTATTTAAGTAAAAAATAGAGAAAAATCAATCATATGCGCTTAAAAACCAAATGTGGCTGTAATGTAGACATTGAATTTACGTAAAGTTCTCCTGTTATCATTTTTCCCCTACTTTTTCTTTACAATTCTCTTTTCCTAAAATCATTTCATGGACATGTTTTGTTTAGTACCATCACACAAAATGCAAAATAAGTCGCAAAAAAAAAAGATAAATTCCCATTTGTATTTTTCTGTTAAGATACCAATGTCGATACTTTGACTTCAAGTATCTACCCAATATCAGCCAATACCAGTGCAGAGAGTGAAAATATAATTTATTTCCTTTAAACACAAGCAGCATATAGTAAAATGTTATTTTTTTAAATAGTTATTTATCATTTGAAGTAAGTATAGAGCAGCTTTGAACAAAACAGTTCAATATTACAAGATGGTTTGGACAAACATTGGCCACTAAATCATCTTATTATACCAGTTAATAGACAAAAATGAGATACTGATACAACTGATATTTTGGAACTGATATCCAGTCCATCAAAATTGTAAATATCGGCACCGATATCCAATGCCTGTATATCAGTGTGTCTCTAACCAGAACAAACACAATCATTTTCTTTATATGCATTTGCATGTTTATTTAGGACAAAATTAGTATTTAAGCTGCAGCCATCTCCAGTGTATCTGGTATGAGTGAATTAAATGTGTTTACACCAATAAAAGCAGATTTCTTAAAGATCTTGTGAGCTTTATAAGTCATGTTATAATTTTGTTGCCTCATCAGAAACATACATGGAGATGCTTTTTGTTTCATTCACACAAGTCTGAGGAATTCTTTATTTAGTTTTTTACATCTCCAAACATCTCCAAAGATCAAAATGCTCTGTTCAACCTTGTGACGTCATGAAGCGATAGTTTTTTATGTTAATGCTACTTTTTACTTTTAGCTCAGCAGAGATTGGAAATTCTGTGGCTGAAATTATCCAAATGATTCTAGTGAAGGTGTGTGGAGTTTAAAAACACAGTGGAGCACTTCTGTATTAGCACATGACGTTCAAAGGTATAACAGAGTGTTGTCTGTTTGAGAGAAGAGCACAACCTAAATGTTTAGGGTTTGTGTGTTAAATGTATGAATGAAACAAAACACAACTCCAGGTCTGTTTGTGATGAGGAAACAACATTATAACATAGATCAGAAAATAGCCTAATATGGGCCCTTTAAAGTTTTCTAAAGGATGGAAAATTCTGTGTCACCCAAAACTATACACCCTTTTACTGTATTTTACATCCCATCGCTACAACTCTAAATGAGTGTGACTGACAGGCGAAATAACCAATCAGAGAAATGCATCGGCCAACAACAGGCAGTTTGAATCCCACAGTCGACAGAAACATCTTTGGTTGAGCGGTCAGATCCACTGACCCAGAGGCTGGCGCTGCGATTCCAGCTTCCACAGATGAATGCTGTGGTTGTGTCCTTGAGCAAGCCACTTAACCCATCTCAGCTGCAGTCTGTGTACAGTATCTGTGTACACTGGTGTATGAGTGTGTGTGTGAATGGGTGAGTGGTTCCTTGATGTAAAGAGCTTTGAGTGCCTTGAAGGTGGAAATGTGCTATATAAAAATGAAACCATTTACCATGGGTCTTTGGTGTCAAATCAGACAAGATTTAAAGGAAAAAAATACAGGAGGAGAAAAAGCATGGAGTTCTACAGAATCAGTGAGCAAAGCAAAGGGAATCTTATTTAGTCCAATGAGGTTGATTTAGTTTTCCAATAATTTATGTTATTAGGTTATTTTTTCAGACCAAGAGTTTTGTTTTACAGCACTTGGAGTCATATTTAGCTCTGAATTTAAACATGAGAAGACTCAAAATTGGTTGGGTGTCTGATGCGGTGCCAGTTTTAGAAAATCATAACCAAACAATTAGATCAAAATTAATTCTATTTATGAATGCAGCACTTTTCTATGAACTGTTTAACATTTAACTGCCCTGAATTCCTATTTCAGAGCATGTATTCTTCTTTGCTTTGACTAACTTTCCAACTGCAGCTTAAAACCTGGAACAGTCTCCTGAACATGTGAGACAGGCCTCTGCGTTGACTCTGTTTAAATCCAGGCTCTAACTGTTTTGTTTAGCTACAAAATTTTATTCTGTTTTAGGAAAAAGACTCTGGAATGATCTTGATGATTATTTAATTTTTGTAATTAAAACTCTTAATCAAAGCATGAATTCATTCATACATACACACTGTTGTAAGTCTGTTTATATGAAGCAAGATTCTTTTGTCTAGGATACTGATTAAAGTAAATGGATATTGTTATGTTGTAATGCATGTAATGTATATGTATGTAACCATTACAAATAGAAAATGCATTGTTTTGCAAAATGTGAACAACCAAAAGTGCATTTCATTCATTCTATTCTGAACTCTTCTCTTTTAATGTTAATGTTATGATGATTATTTATGTTTTCACTTGTTTGTATTGTGATTTAATGTCTTTCTATTTATTTAATTTATTAAATTTATTAAATGTATTTATTTATCTATTTGAGACAGGGACAGTGCACAATTTTTATATTAACATTAACAGGAGAGATGCATTGTATCAGGCTGTAGCATCAGTGCTAATTTCCACCTGTAGTCCCTGGGCAGGTTCATTGATTGATTGTACTGACATTAACTATCAACTGTTTTTCCTGGAGACCTTTGTAGCATGTTTTGGGTTTCTCATTCTTTACAGCACTTTGAATTACATTGTGTAGAAATTGTGCTATAAAAGTAAACTTGCATTGTCTTGGCTGAAGTGCAACTATAAAAACTCACATGAATTTCCGACCTAGTGAAGATGGTTTAATTCTCATCAGTTCCTTCAGAGACACGCTGGGTTTACTGAGAACACTGAACAGGACCACGCCACCTTCTCGAAGCTGGAGCTGCCTGGACGGACTCAGAGCTGGCCTCCTCCTCCTCCACAAAGCACACAGGCCCGAGGAGAAACATGGTGTCTCATCCGATTATTTCATTGTTGCTCTAAAGAGACATTAACTGCAGACTTGAGACTTGAGAAAGTGTGATTTCGTGTAGTGCCTGAAGCCAAACTAGTTGCTGCCGGTCCACCCACGTAGTCTGGTAGTGAGCATCTGTAAACATGAGTGTGCACCTGATCCCTCCGTCAGACTGTTCAACCACCATGTTTTCAATTGTACCAAACCCACAAGCAACCTTTGTTCTGACACTTATTTCACTACATAAAAAAGTACTTATTTATTTTATACAGTATATTAAAAGATAAAGGAACAACTAAAAATATGGATGTATATTTAAAGGGACCATATTACGCCATTTCTGATCTATGTCATAATGTTTTTCCTCATCACAAACATATCCACAGTTGTGTTTTGTCTCATTCTCACATGTTTAACACGCAAACACTGCATATTTAGGCTGAGTGTTTAGACTCAAACTCACACTCTGTTCCACCTTGTGATGTCATGTGCTAATACAGGAAGTGCTCCGCTGTGTTTTTAAACTCCACACACCTTCACTAGAATCATTTGGATGATTTCAGCCCTGGAATTGCCAGTCTCTACTGAACTAAAGGTAAAACGGAGCTCACTACATAAAACATACTTATTTTATATATTAAAAGAAGACAAAAGGAACCATAAAAATACAACCATCTACATGTTACACTTAATTGTTCCAGTAGGGAAAATCCAACTTTTTTAAATACTGGGGTAACCTGTCAGGAACAGTGTGGAACTCTAGAGAGCCCATGTATCATCATCTGGTCTTAAAGGTGCACTGCGCAACTTTTCTGGAGAAGGGTTTGTCACCTGCTTGTCTCTATGGAGATGCTATTGCTATACCTGGAATGTTCCATGGTATGATATTAAAATCCAATCTAAAGTCTAAATGCCTGGTTTTAATAAAGTCCTTACCTCAATTGTTTGTCTTTTATTTTTATGCATTACATTTTTTGGTATACATTTAAAAATAAACGAATGTAATAAATCAATGAAAATGTAAACTGTACAACTCACCTTTATGTAATAGATAATCTTACATAACTTATTTCTACTGTATTTTATTTTGACTTCTACATATACATTTATATAATTATGCCTTATTTTACATTTGTCTCTTGCTATTTTTGCTACTTATTTAGAATTGATTAATACCAGTTATATTTTTTTCTCTTTGTTATTATAATATATAGTGACGTGTGAGCTACTGTGTACAAATCATTTCACTTGTGGATCAATAAAGTTTGTCAAAGTCTAAAACCATACCTTGGTGTTGTAGGGGTATGACTTCTCAGAGTCGATTCCCTGGTTGTCGACGACGTACTGAAAGGCGGCACTCATGAAGCCTTCATTACGTTCATGATTTCTGTATTTCCCAGAACAGTCCACTAGGTTCTGAGGGCTGAGGTCCACCAGCTTCCCTGTGGTTTTGGCTAACAGTCCCTCCAGAGCCCCAGCAGCGTTGAAGGCCCAGGACGACCCACACTTGCCCTGCATGATGAGGAAAGAAAACTGACTATACCGAAATTAAGATTGAAAAAACACACACTGAGGAAAAAAAATAAATATCTGACTTTAGACACATAAATAGAATACAAAATTAGTATAGTATGTCAGGTCATTTTGAGTAACATTTCAGACATCACAACTAACCCTTTTGGATCTGGAAATAAAAGTCATCATTATATAGACATCATTTCATGTTTTTCTAACTTATTAAAATGTACTTACTTATAACAACTAACTATAATTGCGTTAAGGCCCATAGCTGATTAGTTAGGCCTAAATAGGTTATTCTGCATAATTTTTCAACTGTGCATCACCTTCTTGTCTCCATGGAGATGTTTTTGTTTTACCTAAAATGTGTCACAATATTTCTAACTTATTAAATGACTGTTATTGCTCAAAATACCTTAAATAATAATAAAACTTGCATTTATACCACAAGCAGCATCACATCTCTAGACTTGTCCTAAAACTTTGGATTTGTTTCTGTTTTGCACAATATGAAAGCTGACTGTATGCACCTTCATAAGGCTGTTGCTGCTCACCATCAACACTGACATTTTGAAGACCATTTTAACCACCACCAACTTTTCATCACTGTGAAACACACAAATAGTTATAAGAACCCACCTGAACACTAGAGATGCACTGATCCAGCCTTTTCAGTTCTGACAGCAATTCCAATATTATAGCTTTAAGTATCTGTCAGTAACTGATATCAACCAATACCAGTGCAGAGACTGAGAACAGCATTTATTCCCTTTAAAACTAAAACTAAACTGATTGAAATGTATTATTTAGATGGTATTCACACCTCACCTCAAGTAACTACACAACAGCTTTGTGTAAATAAAAGTTCAAATATTGTGAGATTTTCTGAGCCCACTATGACCAGTAAATAGTCTTAATACATCAGCCAATATCTGATTTAGAAATTGTTTTCATTATCAGCTCCAATATCCATACCAGTATTCCATATTCAGAACTGTGAATATGCTGCTTTTTCATCTTAAAATGACAATCCAAACAGTTCTATCTGCATGTAGTCTACACTGAAAAAGGATCATGGTCTATGTAGTTCCCTGTGTTTTCTAGTTATGCTGCACCATAGGGATTGGACAAGATCTCGTGCCACAAGATCTTGCAGAGACAGAATTGCCACGATTATGCACACGAGAAAAATGATCTTGTGAGATTTTTTTCCCCATGGATTTACATTTGGCTTGGATGAAAAAGAGTTAAGAGCTGATGAGTTACACAATTTGAGAAGCTGTAGTTCCAAAACGCAGGACTACAATGACCACAAAAGTATTACAAAAAATAAATAAAAACAGAGAAGCCAAAATTCTGAAATGGATTGTACTGCTTATTTATTAAAAATTATGTCAAAATCTCATCTTGTCATGGATCCAATCTTGTGGTATGTCTCATCTTGTGAAAACTGAGTCTCGTCCTGCCCCTAACTATTAATTTAAGAGATTTCTAACACGCTATTCTTGTGAGAACTTTGACGAAACGATATCACGATAATTTGTTTTTTGGTTACATCCCTATCTGACACTTGTGGGATAGAACTGAACCTGTAAGAACTCCATATAGCAACGCTCACAATCACGTCCCAATCAATGAATGTGAGGAGCTGAAGAGGCCCTCGCACTTGAATCTCTCTTCAGGGATTCATAACATGGTATTGAAATGAATTGAATCAAGTTAGAAGTGTCTACGCCTGGCATATTTTATTTAAAGTGAGCACACATCTTCTCCGGCCTTTGACTGGAGCCGTGTGTAGTGTTTGGCAGCACATGAGTGTACACATGGTCCAGTGGAGGAGACGAGGTTAAAGGACTGCTAGACTCTTTGGGAATATGTCAATTTCACTTTTTCATGTTAACACAGAAGCCCGGCCAGAATCGATATGAGTGGGTCTCTGGTTGAATGATACTTGTCTGCACAACACCAGTCTGTAATAAGTATAAGGGCAAAGTCTTGTTTAATACAGAGAGGGAGCGCTCATGAGAATAGAGTGAAACAAATGAACGTGCTGGACAAATGATCACTATTCTCTTTGAGTCATGTGTTCCACCAATGAGTAAAAAGTATTCTTGACTACCGTAAATATGTGCAATGATATCGATTTACATTTTTGCTGGTTTTCTAGAAGTAACAAAGACCGAAGTACTTGGACTACTTACCATGAACCAGATATTATGTGTTCTTAAAAAAGATTGAGTTGAACTGAATTGGAATTGTCAATAGGGCTGCATACAGTTGACACCGGTTAACCATATAGTGCAACTAAACTAAAAATATAAATATACCATAAATTCCGGACTATAAGTCGCTACTTTTTTCTCACACTTTGAACCCTGCGGCTAATAAAACAATGCGGCGACTATATGGACGGATTTTTTGTTTGGCACATTGTCCATGCATATAAACAGTCTATGGTTTGGCAACACTCAATAGTTTATCGCCATTTGATAAAATAAGCTATGGTGCTAAATGAACATTAGTGAGGGGGATACGTCTTACCCGTATGTGTAAATGAACATCTCAAACTTCAGTAGGCGGACATCCACTCATACCTGATTAATAGAACTAGCCCCACCCCCGGGAGAATCTGAACTCTGCTGAAATCCTCAAAGGCACTGACAGGATAGCAGCTCTTGCAGGAGACATGCGCCGGAGAGCGCGGGGAGAGACGGGGGTGATGTGCCAAGGAAGTTTTTTCTTCATGGAAAACACACAAAGAAATGCAGATGACGCAACTTTTAAGTTAACAAGAGATTGCTGTGGCTGTGGAAGAAGGAAAGAGAGCTGCTGTACGTGAGCTCAGCATCAGTGAGTCGATGGTGTGACGTTGGCAATGGCAGCGTGACAAACTGACTCCATGCAAAAAGATGACAAACGCTTTGAGCTGAAGCAGATGGCCCTTGATAACGTTCTTGAAGACGTGGACACCTGCGGCTTATATTCAGGTGTGGCCTATATATGCACAGTTTAAAAATTTTGATAAAATTTCGTTGATGCAGTTTATATTCAGGTGCACTCAATAGTCTGGAAATTATGGTAATTATTTAAATTTTTTAGTATTTATTTACATAGTTATTACACTGAGTTAAACCAGCTGCATTGTAAACAACTTTGGTAATTTGCACCATAGGGGTTTGTCCCAGAAGGAATATTAAAAAGATTCTGTTGAACATAATGATATGACTCTTACAGTAGCCTTTTTTTTTTTTTTTAAGTATTAAGATTTGTTTTGAAATCATTCTCTGTACCCCAGGTTTAGAAGCACTGACCTAAAAGTTACTTCCCAGAAAAAAAAAAAAAAATCTATTTTCATATTTTATTTTTACTTACATCTACATTTGTATGCCATATATCTGGCAAATGAATCTTGCTATTTTTGCTTATTTACAATGTTTTATTATTATGTTTTATTTACATTTTTACTCTTTCTTACTATAATATATTGTGAGGTGTGAGCTACTGCGTCCAAATAATTTCCCTTGTGGATCAATAAAGTTTGTCTAAGTCTAAAAAAGATACAGAAAAAATACTGAGTCCGGTTATCACATATATTACAGAATGTCGTAATTGAACACATACAACAGGCCTGCATAGTTTAGTTGAGTTTATCTTATATTTTTATGGAGATTTGAGGAGAATGTGTCACCTGATTCTTGACTGGGGGTCACATAGCCTTTTCTCCAGTCCTCGCTGTCTGCTACAGCCACATCTGCTAAAAACAGAGGGGATGGCGCCCTCTGCAGGTCACTGGGAACTCTCAGGATACATCTGTCTGACTTCCTCTTCAGTCTGAAAGGAAACACATTTACTGCAGACTACTACTACTGTTTCTGCCACTACTACTACTATCAGCACAAACACTACAAATACTACTATTACTACTCCTACTCCTCCTCATACTACTGCTACTGATTATTTTCTTATTAGTTTGTTTATTATATTTTAATGTCCAATTATTGGTTTACAGGAATCCAGTTGAAAGATGAACTGCTCTCACACATTTACTCTAGACTCCTGCTACTACTACCACTACTACTATTTACTTTCTTTCTTTTATTTACTTTCTTTTAAGATGCTTTATTTATTTATTTATTTGATGAGGAAACAGCATTATAACATAGTGTAATATGGACCCTTCAAGTTTGGTTGAACTTGTTTCACGATTACTATGGAAATGGGTCAATTATAGATTTTGATTCTGTTTGTCTTTTTATCATGTGAGAGACTCTGTATGAGTCCACAATAAGATTTTGATGACAATAATTAATTGATAACGAATAAACTATACATATTAATATTGTAGAGCAACAATAAGAACAAGCTTAAAAGTTACGCTAAGCACGTTTAAGCCACGTAAAAAGTGAGCTAAAGCCACATTTTTTGCTGTAGGGTAACGTGCCTTCTAAGTGATATGAGCAAAATATTAAATGATAAATTGACTTAACCAAGACAAATATCAAACAAATCTCGTTAGCGTTGAATATTTTTGTCTAATAAGGTATTTAGATGACGAAAACCGTGACAGTACCTTTCCTCGGTGAGCTCATATCTGCGGTGTGGACGCGGGTGTTAATGAGACGCGGCAATTTCCTCTTTTATGAAGCCGCGCGCGCTGTCACGTGACGAGGCTCGCGGTGTTTGCGTATTTACAGGTGACAGAAGCGTGAGCACGTTTTTGCACAATACGTCCCCAAATACGTCGATTATGCCCAATTATTACACGATTATTTGACAGGCATATTAGGTAAAAATATTACAGTATCGAAGTTTCAAATAGGCTATTGCTTATATTCAGTGGTGGAAGGTAAAAGTAGAATATTTACACTGCAAAAAAGTTGGCCAAAATTTAAAATATAAATACTTAAAACGATTAAAACATTTTAAAAATAGTGAAATTATCTGTCTCTGCAGCAAGATAATTTTACTTGACAAGTGATCGTAAAACTACCTCTAGACTAGAATTAAGCAGTTTTCTTCAAGTGCCCATGGGCTGGACATAAGTTTATGGATGTTAAGTTTGAGATAAACATACTTGAGTATCAAGCAAATCTGTATCACTGAATCTAAAAACAAGTGAAGTGTTGCTGGGGAAAACTGGTAAATGGATTGCAGCTTCTTTTAAACATGAGCACTGTAGTTTTAACCAAAAGCTCCTTTTTGTGCTGATATAGAAAAGTTTGGCCTACTATTAATATGCAAATGTAGACCTATAGGCTCTAACCCTGTTGTCAATCATCTTAACATCAGTCTCTAGCTATTTTCTGCTTCTTATTAGAACTAGATGTCCCTTTTACCCTGCGACAGTCCCAGTTTTGAGCCCTGTGTCCCCTGTCCTAACAGGTTTACCCAAAACCAGTGATTTGTCCCAGTTTTATTCAAGAAATGCCTCAGGTGTCCTTATATATTGAAGTTAGAGCTATTGACGTTAATATATTGTCATTTATTTGGCTAAAATACAGTAAACTGTGCTTAAAAATCAGTGGTGGAAGGTAACAAAGTACAAAAGTAAAAGAGCAATACTTTTTTTTTAAGTAACTGTACTTTACGTAAGTACATTTTAACAGTGGATACTTACTTTTACTATATTACAATTCAGAGCAAGTATTTATACGTTCTACTCCACTACATTTTAGATCTGGACTGAAAAGTAAAAAGTACTTTTCCTTATGGTGTGAGACTTGCTAAAATGGCTGAGACTTATTTTTAGCACATTTGATTTGAGTTAACATCCCAACTTTGAGCAAATCAAATACACAAATACACATAAACAGCTTAAAATAAAAAAAAAAAAAATCATAATCAGTGCATTTGATGTTTTTATTGTTACTCTTAAAGTACATTTTTTCTTCAATATTTTTACTTAAGTAGATTTTTTCATGTAATACTTTTACTTTTATTTGAGTAATCCTTCTCTTGTGTCTGTACTTTTACTTAAGTAACATCCACCACTGTTGAAAATGTGCATAAGGCAAAAAATGCACTAACTGAAGTCCTTTAGATTATATACAGACCCACAAGTAAAAGGAGAATGGACGATGTTACGAGCTCACAGTTTTATTTATACCCACCATCCTAACCTGGGTGTGTTCCAGTTTTGAATTTTGAAAACCTGGTAACTCTGTGCAGAGGACTTGAAGAAACTGGTGTAATCCTCCAATGCAAAGGGTATAGCCTATTAAACTTGAAGCACATTATACCAGACTCATTTTATTAAAGGAAGCCAATTCTGAGTTGCATTTGTAATCATAGGGTACATGGAATAAAAGCATAGAACAGTGCAGTGTGGTTTGGTGAATCTGACAGTCAGAGATAAAACTGATTTGTTATTAAAAAGTAAGTAACATTTACAAGTTTATAAGTTCATTTTAAAATGTTAAAATGGCAAAAGATACACTCCCCGAGCCTGACAATAATCACTGTGACTAAAATACTTGGGATCTTCAGTGTCATTTCTTTTATACCCAGTGGTAGTAAACAAATTCTAACATTTAAAATGGCTTCATAAAATGCTGTCTTCTACAGTTTGTCCAGTAGGGGTCTGTCTTGGATATTTTTTCATGATCAAATACTATTACTATATCACAACTTTAAGGGAAATGTGTCTTTCTTTCTTTGTGTATTTAATGTGCTAAACAGAAATGTCCTGCTGGTGCATCACTCTTGGTTATATTTGGTTTCTTATTTATTTATGTTCTATGGTGGATGTTTGTATGGTGCTTATGTTACTCTGTTGTCTTGTCTTTGTGCTTGTGATCACCTGTCCCAAGATAAGTTCAATTCATGAGAAGGAAATAAAGGATTACTTTATCTTATATTCTCCAAACATTTATGCACCAAAAGTGTCTTTATTGAAAATCATGGGATAATCAGAGACATGCAATAACTGAGCAAACTGTACATGCACTTTCAATACTTTAGAGTCTCAAGGAGCAATCAAAGTTCAAGTGGATCAATAAAGTTTGTCTAAATCTAAGTCTAAGTCTGTTTTCACATTCACAAGTACATTTCTTATGACGGTGTATCAGTCTCACTTTGTTCTTGATGTTTACTGAGGAAACACTGAGTACAAAGAGATGCCACACATTTGATTCTTGTTGCGAGCCATCCGGATGTAGCCGTTTTCTCCCCAGTTTGCGCCCCAACTACAAAGACATAAAAATATATAATTACAAGTTATTATTTTCCTACATAAAGTTACACTGTGTAGCTTTTCTGGTGGAGGGTCCTTCACCTGCTTGTCTACATGAAGATGTTATTGTTTTATCAGGAATGTCCCAGTATGGTCTTAAACGTAACCATCTTGCATTTACTCAATAACATGAGTTGTTATTGACCTAAAAACTTGCATTCTTACTGTGAATGGGCTCGCCTCTCCACAGATCTGACATGTAACTTGGCTCTATGGCATCAGAAGCATTTTATGGAGCTAAATTATTCCCTGATTGTGGGAAAGATGGACTGGTGTGGGTAGTGCTGTGTTTTAGTGTTTGTTTTTTCTCGAGTGAAGCAGAAAAGAGGGAGCCACTGTCTGTGTGAATGTTTACGTATGTTAGCTGTCCTGTCTCCATAGAGATAAATAAGTGTAAAACCATATTTTGGAACATTCTAGACAGCATCTCCATGGAGAGAAGCAGGTGATGGATCGTTCACCAGTTAAGTTACACGGTGCACCTTTAAGCAGTTATACATTTAAATCAAATACTGCCAACATAAATAAATAATAATAAAATGCTAATTTAATGACATTATACAGGTAAGTGCACTAGACACTCACAGTACATAAAGGAAATGTTTAACTCTTTTATCAATAATATGGTTTTATCAGTCCTCCTCTCTGACTTTGAATGTCCTCTCTTGTGTAATTCAACCTGAGTATGTTTACAGATTGTCACCTGTTTTTCACCAGCCAGTAGTCCAGCCCGGTGATGTCATCGGTGCCATAGCCTACGACCAGCACTGCGTGGTTCAAGTCCTGTCCACAGTATGGATTATAATAAACACCTGAAAATAAAAAAAACAAAACATGATGTTTACCATGAGGGCTATGTACGGCATTTCCTGTAGACTAATTCTAATCTAAATAATAATTAATACTGCCCAATGTTAGTAACTTAACTCTAATTTTAGTCTCAACTGTCCATTAACCTGAAAACTGATTTAAACTAGAAGAAAATCATATCTCCATAAAGTGACTCTGTAAACAACACTGCCAAAAGCAATATCTAAGTTAAAATGAATTTAATTAAGACCATTTTATTTTATTTGAGTAGATTCAACTTGACAAGTCAACCAATGGAATAAGTGTGTTTTTCTGAATTCAAGCAACATTAGATTTAGTTTGTTATATTTTAAGTACAAAAGGTCTTGTTCCCTTATTTAATAATTTTACATGTCATTTGGGACAGGAAAAGATCTTGTGCCAAAAGATCTCTTGAGACAAAAATTGCCACAAGACTGTGCACACACAAGAAAAATAGTGAAATGGATTGCACTACTTATTTATTACACATTATGTCAAAATCTTGTCTTGTCTCATTGTGAAAAATGTGTCTTATCCTACCCCTAATTTCAAGTGAAATTTACTCAAATCATGATCAAACTTCCTTAATTCAAGTCATCTTAACTTGGCTAGATTTGAGTTTTTGCAGTGTAATACAAGTACATAGTACAAGTATATTCAGTGTTCAAGTATTATTAATGTACAACAAGCAAACATGACTTACCAGAGGTGTACTGACTAATATCACTGGCGTCGATGGCGATGGAGATTGGCCCGATAATAGCAGAAGCCAGTTTGAGACTCTGTTCATCCTTGTTCACAAAGCTGTAGGACGAGCAGGTAGCAGCTTGGTATGTCGCGTTGTAATGACAAGTTTCATCCTGGAGGAGACAAGAATGATCACAAAGTAAATTAAAGGTCATATATTACACAAAACTGACAAAACTGAGCCATGTTAGCTTTTATGTTATGATACTGTTACCTCCTCAAACATATTGCTGGATTTCAGATGACGTCACAATATTCTATAGGCCCACAATATGTAATATAATGGGGCAGGTAAAATGGATATTTTAATTTATTTTTTTTTTTGTAATATAGAAGGTTTATGGCTCTAGTCACTAAAAGAAATGATCAGGTTCAACATTTGTGAATTTACCTTTGAATATTTCATGTCAAAGTACAATATAATCAATAGGAAAATCTGTCTCTTGCCCCCCATCTGGGAGTAGGACATCATTACATTTTTTAATCTGAAAACCACCAATAGGCTACCTGGGGTGTTCATGTTTCAGTAATCCTGCATATTAGGCTGTCTGCATTCACAAACTCAACATGCTCCGTTTTATCTTGTGATGTCATTCAGTGGTAGTTTTAAAGTTAATGGGCATTTTTAGTCTCAGTTGAACAGCTTTATTCTTCAATTTCAATTTCAGTTTCTTCAGTATTCTAGAATAAGATGTTCCTTTAAGATGTTCCTTTTATTATTATTATTTTTTTTTTTTCAATTTTTGTTTTACCTTGTGTACAGTGTCAGTAGAAAGTCTCTAATAGTGAAGCAGTTTCAATGATGCTAAATAACTATGACTTCAAAGTTAGGCAAATACAGGCCTGAAATGATCAAAATGATTCTAGTGAAGGTGTATGGAGTTTAAAAACACTGTATTAGCACTTAATGACATCACAAGGAGCAGCATAGTGTTTTCAGTCTGAGAAAAGGACGCAGCCTAAATATGCAGGATTTTACATAGATCAAAAATAGTGAGCTCTTTAAATACAGTTGGTAAGTAAGACCGATAGGCTGTATACATAAATGGACATAGCTAACCCACTAGACGTCACGTTCCAAATAGGAAGTGATCATGGGTGTGCTTCTGGCTCAATCGACTTTGGCTCCAATTGACTTGACATCAAAAAAAACCGTCACCCCTCTCTTTGTAACTGCTGCAGTGAGCCTCGTCATTTTGGTCCTAAAATGTTTATATTAACCCACTCTACATGCTTTTGGTGTTTTTTCTTTCGCTATTTTGTCCGTAAATAAATTCCTATTCCTAATGGCTCCAAATTCATGCCAGCTTCATGAGCTTCATTTGACTGGAGTCGAACACTATGGGTGATGCCAGACTCCCTTAAGGCCGACACACACTACAGGATTTTTCTGTCTTAAATTATTTTTAAACGTGCATCAAAACACGCACACCACAGACACAAGGAGTATCTTCTGAGACTTAATCTCCGATCCCAAAGACTGCAGCGGGATATGTCTGCAGATCACAGAATATAAAGTTGTGAGCGCGATCGGGTCTGCTGTTTAATGTCTACAGTAAAATGACTCACTTTGAGACTCCTAAGTGTTCAAAAGATACAAGTCAAAATTGTGTTATTATTATTTGTGAAATTTGGTGCAATACGTCCGATACATGATTTTTATTGGCTATAAAGCACAAAGGAAGTAGAGTCACTATTGTTAATCTGCAGCTTCACCTCAATCCGTGCGCTGTGTGGATGTAAACAAACACACATGAGGAACTACTCTTGCCTTTTTACTTTTAAGGAACACCTCAAACTGGATTAATAGTGCTGTTTTATGGACTTGATGTCATTATTTGTGGAGTACAATTTCTATGGATAATGTGGATGAGATGCTGCACTTTAAATTTACCACTTTATGAGAGCTGAGGAATAAAGTCTTCTCATTATTTTCGCTATATTCCGAGTTTGTATCTCGCGTCTCTGTGTCCATCACTCCTCTGACCCTTACGTTTTATTGTCTGTTACTGTAGCATTGCTGATGTTTAGTGGTTATGATATGACAAAGTGGCTCAGAGTCACACTGACACCACACACATGAGAAGCATACAAAGACAAAAAGTTGGGCCACGCCTGGGGAAAAGCAAATCGCAGCCAAAATCGGGCAAACTCTCCTGTAGTGTGTGGCAGCCTTTAGTCCACTTCTTTATACAGTATATAGGAAGACCTTACTTTAGGTTAACCCAACTCTTTTCTTCTTTTGCACAGTGAGTTCTTACCATTCCTTCATAAGGGTAGGAAGCTAGTGAGTCAATGCCTGGGTTGTCAATGACGTACTGGAGGGCTTGATGAGGCAGTCCACCATTACAGCCATCATTTCCATATTCTGATGAGCAGTCCACCAGGTTCTGAGGGCTGAGGTTCATCAGCTTCCCTGTGGTCTTAGCTAACAAACCCTCTAAAGCCCCAGCAGAACTGAAGGCCCAGCACGACCCACACTCACCCTGCAAAATTAAAACGTGTTTAAGCTGTTCCTGATGTGACAAAAATGATTGAATTGGAATACCTGAGACACTTTTTTTTACATGACTTTTGAAAGACAATATTGGATCTACTAGATTAACTCCTAGGTATTGGAATTCTTTCTCTTTTTATAGATTTTTAGGTGATCTTTACCTGATTTTTGACACTAGTCACTAAGCCAGCTTTTCTCCAGTCCACACTGTCTGGTATATCCTCGCTTGGTTCTTGGAGAGGGGTTGGTGTCATTTTGAAGTCTTTGGGAAGCTTCAGAGGGGTACATATTTTCAGCCTTTCTTCCTTAGTCTAGGAGGCAAAACAACAAATACAAATACTAAGATTTCAAAAACTTTCAAAAGTACTTTCCGAAGAATATCTAACTCAGGTTATAGAAATCGTGACAGTGAGTTACCAGGTCAGACAGGTGGTTGATGCCCATAGTGTAGGTGTGAAGGCCCATAGACGCCTCCAGGTTGTGAATGTTGATCTGCTTCAGGTTGTTTTCCCACAATGCTCTGCGACCCATCTCCTCCACCTAAAAAAGGTACTTTAAAGTGTAAAATAATGGTGTAGACATTCAGAAAATAAAGGTTAAATTAAGTTATATATCAGCAAATGTTATGAATGTTATGTATTAAGACATCCATTTAACAGCAAAATTCTAAAAAGACAAATTTACAAGTCAAAATTTTGAAGATTCAAATTGTATGTGTATGTTTATATAATATACATCATTAATATATGAATAAAACAGTAAATAGATTTAAAAAAAAAAACAAAAAAACAGCATAATTCCCCACATTGTTACCTCAGAGGTGGTTATTTTAACACATTTTTGGTTCCAAATAAGAGATATATTCTTCCTACACACCTTTAAGATAAGGTGTCCCTCAGGGCTCAGTGCTGCTGTTTTTCCAATACATTGTTTATATGTGTTTGGACTGATCAAATAATTTCTTTTCTTTTCTTATGTTAGAATTTTCTTATTCTAACAACAACTTATTTTTGTAATCAAAGGAACCTGTATCATTATATACATTTTTTGCATAGATTTTAGTGGACAATAGACAACAGTGTAAAAAATAATGCTGTTGCTGCCCTCTTGCATATCATTGCTGTAAATAATAACAAGTATTCTATTCTGTTGAACTGTTTTTATTCTGCTCTGTAAAAGTATTGATACTTTGCTGCTGCTTGCTGCTAGCATCAGCCAGCAGTTTTTCAGTTACTCACACTGACCATTTTTTAAATGAAAATCAAACTCCTAAACAGGACCATGAACATTTGGGGTGATCGCAGACTCCTGAAAATGTGCTGTCTAAATCCAGTTTGTGTTTTTACTTGAGTTTTTAGAATCTTAAAACTTTAATTTACAATTTCAGCAGTGAGTGACAGAGCTATATATATATGCTGTATAAATTAACAAATATACACTTGCAAATGTGCATTGTGTAACTTTTCTGGTGGAGGGTCCGCCAGATGCTTTTCACCTTTGAGATGTTATTGCTTTGTCTGGAATGTTTCACAGTATGGCATTAAACGTTTCTATCTCCATGGAGACCAAACTAGACCAAGTTACAGGTCAGATCTGTGGAGCGGCAACCCTGCTCACAGTCCGAATGCCTGTTTTTTTTTAGTTATTTTTGAACAATAAATCCAGCTGTAATTGTGAAACAGTAGAAACAACCCCAACCAAAAAGTTGCACAGTGCACCTTTAAAATAATAGTTAAAAAAATATGATGATGAAAATACGATTATGTTATCATGTCTGACAAACCTCATTTTGGTATTTCTTTTGGTGAATCTTCTTCCAGCGGTCCCAGTGTATGTCCAGACTGATGTCAAACTCAGCCCAGACTGTGGCACAGAGCAGAGCCAGCAGCAAGCCTCCCACCATCACACCTGCACACACCATTCATTCTTATACAGCAGTAATCTACAGTAGGTTTGTGAAAATGTGAGACCAACCATCAACTGACCTGCTCTTGCCATGTTCATGTTTGCAGTAGTAATCAGAGTTAAGACTGCTCTGTTTTTATTGACGTGAATGTGAGTCACGTGGTTTGGGCTAATGGTCTGATCTACATTATGGCTGCAGGTTAAACGGTCAGCGTAGGCGACCCAGAGTCTATCAGAGAGTGTACATACACACCTAAATAAATAAGGGTAGAGTAAGCATTTCTAACCAATTGAGCAAGTCATTCTGGATTAGTCATAGGTTCAATGCAGAAATCTTGGTTCATGTAAAGGGTAGGATAATAATATATACACATTTAACAATGGCTGGGTTTCAGATGTCATCACAACATTCTATAGTGCAATAATATTTTATAAAGAGAAGAGATTCCAAAGAGGGAGTGAGCATGGTGACGCTTCTGGCACCATCAGCTATTTCAAATTGACTTTACATTGAAAAAACAGTTGTCTCTCCTGTCTCTGTAACTGCTGCAGTGAGCCTCGTCATCTTGGCCTAAAAATGTTCAAATTCACTTCTGTAACTACAAGCAGCATGAGCGTCATTTGACTAGAGCCCAAATCTACGGGTGACGTCACACTCCATTAGTCCACTTCATTGTAGTAGTGTGTGTAAGATTGTGAGATAAAGAAGTGGGAGATTTGGGAGAGCCTTTGTGTGGGTCCTGTAAATTTAAGGAGCTGAGGCTGGGTTGAATACACTTCTAAAAAAAAAAAAAAAAAAAAATATATATATATATATATATATATATATATATATATATATATATATATATATATATATATATATATATATATATATATATATATATATATATATATATATATATATATATATATATAAAATCTTATATAGGACTTGATGTAAGATACAATACAGTTCTGTGCATTATTTGTGCATTATTAATATGGTGGTGGTAAACTACTATTGTAGCCACAGATTTTAACCGTGATTATACTGGCTTATATTGGCCTTGTACCAGATTTTTTCATTCATTCATATGTATTTGAGTAAAATGCCTTGCCCCAACACAGATACATTTTTTAAGCAGCTTTTGAGGTCAAAATAAATCAGCTGTAAACATATGTATATATAACACACCTAAGTAAATAAAGGTAGAGTACAATTCACAGTAATTGCCTGAAGGATTGAAATAGTGATTAGGGATTGTTAGTCACAGGTTCATCTAAAGTTTATGTGACAATGAAGCATTGTAATAAATTTGACAACAATAACCAGATGAAAATCTGTCTTATTAAATTGCTGCAAATGTTGGATAAAAAGAAGCAATAGGTAACTGTGAGCGCAAAATCTGATTTGGAATTTGATGTTAATGTAATTGGAAGAACTGTAATGGCGATTATGTACAAAATGTGAGGAGTGATGAAAGTTAAAAGACAGGCTACAGAGACAGTCTTGTGTCACTCGCTTTTACAATAAGTGAGACTTGCACTGTTCTGTATCACTGAAAGCATGTCTAACTTTATTTCACTTAAACAACAGAAATGTGTTTGGTTTTCAAAGTTCTTTTCTGTGCAAAACACAACAACCTGTCAAGTTGTGTCAACATTCCTGCAATAGACCCTGATTTTGTATTAACACGATAACATAGGCACAAGCAAAACAGTTACTGATAAAACTGCGCTCATATATTAAGATGTGTAGACCCTTGTACTATATTCATCTACTTACTCAATACTGGTGCAGTCACCACCACCAACGAGTGGAGTGAGGCTGCAGCCTGAGGCTGGTGTGAGTGTGCGGTGCCTCTGGCCTGCAGTTTCATACTCTCAGTCTTTGGGGATAGAGGATCTAGCAATGTTGGACACTGTTCAAGTACTCCACAAGTCTCTGACAGAAGCACTCTGATGGAATGAGGGAACCAAGCAAGACTTTTTATGTAGCCAAACAAAGACCCCAGTAAATTAAATGCCTTTATTAAAACAATCAAAGAATTTGCTTTTGATATGACAAAATAACAAAAGCTTAACAAAAGTTCTAATCCTAAAACAAATGACAGTAAATCAATCAATGATATAAATCCATGAAATAGTGTCTAACTTTTTGAGGAACACATATCAAAAAAGATGAATTGGAGGACCAATCAAATGCCACAGACTGTTTAATGCAGTGAGCAATTACAATGTAAAAAAAAAACTTAAGATAGCTCTTTAAAACTTTAAAACAGATTTTTTTAAACTTGAAAAACCTAAAAATATATTTTGTTCACAGTGATGTAGACAAAATTTATATGAGACGAAACACCATGAGATTGGGTCCACAAGAACGAGACAAGACAAGATTTTGACATAACTTATAATAAATAAGGCAAGTAGTGAAAGTAGTGCAATCCATTTCACTATTTTGGCTTCACTATTTTTATTTATTTTATGTAATTCTTCAGCAGTCATTATACTACTGCTTTTTGGATCTACAGCTTCTCAAATTGTATAACTCTCACAAGATCTTGTGGCACAGGATCTTGTCCCATCCCTGCCGTGATGTTACACAGGATAGATGGCATACATTGAGATGCCACACATCTGGTTCTTGTTACGTGCCATTCTGATGTAGCCTCGTTCCCCCCATCGTTTTCCCCAGCTGGAAAAGTGAAAGAAGGAAAGTTAGAAATACACTGTCATTTTATAATTAATACATCCTTAAATTTGATTTGATTTTCGATTGTCTGAAAACTGAAGAAGAGCCTGTGATTAATGTGAATGCTCATGGTCCTGTTTAGGAGTTTGATTTTCAAAAAAAGGTTGTTGTCAAATGCTAGATATCGTGCAACTGTAACAATATCTGAGAGGGACTTGTTCAACAGTAAAAATTAGATCACCTGTTGTAGTTCCAATTTAATCAGTTTTTTCTGATTAGATTATGTGGAAATGAAGCTCAGATTAAAGTTTAACAAAGCCTCAAACAGACGGTTAGCTTCACACCCCCAGGAAATGTTGATAACATCAGCTGCAAAGTATTAATACATAAATAATGGACATTTCAGTTTTGACCTCACCTGTTTTTGATCAGCCAATAGTCCAGTCCTGTTTTGTCATCCGTGCCATAGCCTACGAGCAGCACTGCGTGGTTTGTAAGCCTTCCACAGGACGGATTGTAGTACACGCCTCAAATGAAAGAAATGAAAGTTCATATGACAGGTTAGACTGTTAATTTCAATAAAACCTACTGGACATAATTACAATTTATTTAAGATTTTATTAATTTTTTTTTTCTAGTTTATAATTGTATTTCCTAGTTGGACACAAGCAGCAGTTGTGACATGGTAAATGCTGGAATGTCAGGTGGGGAGGGAAGGTCTGCTGATTGGTTACTCGAAGTGATGAAGTTTATGAACAGGGTTATTTTGTTATTTAGGAAATGGGTTATGATTATGGTATGGCTCCCTGAACCTCCACCTTGACGTGGTGGAGGGGTTTGAGTGCCCGCATGATCCTGTGAGCTATGTTGTTGGGGCTTCATGCCCCTGGTAGGGTCACTCAGGGCAGACCAAGAGCGATCCAGAAGCCCTATATGATGCATTCATAGGCCAGTGACGTTGTCCGGATTGGAGGTACCAGAGCCCCAACTTTTTATTATTTAACCCTTGCTGCTATTTGGTTGTGACGTATGTAATGCGCTGCTAATGGGGGTAACTGGTATATTAAGCTTTTCCCAAATCCTGTAGGAAGAAGGACAATAATGTCTTTCCCCTTGATAAAATTCACCAAACATTCTTTGTTCCGGCACACTTTGTTCCAAGTGTGCTGCAGCCCGTGCGGTCACAGAGGCAAAAACTCTGAGCTGGGAGGAGTTTGAGGAGGCCACAGAAGAGGGTTATTGGACGGCCTCAAACAGATTCTGGCAAACCGTCCGGTGCCTCAGGAGGGGGAAGCAGTGCTTCACCAACACTGTACCCAATACCCAATAAACTAATAGTTTTATTGCTCAAAAATACATAGAAAAAGTCATTCTGACTCTGAGTAGCCTCTCCACAGATGTGACCTCTAACTTGGCCTGGTTTGGTCTCCATAGAGATAGAAAGGTTGAATGCCATACTGTGAAACATTCCAAACAAAGCAATAACATCTCCATGGAGAAAAACATTTAACAAAACTCAATTCTGTCAACTGGACAAAAGTATTGTTTTTGTCCAGTTGCCAGAATAGAGAATACAGATTTACCAACAACAAAACCAGTCCTTACTTACCAGATCGGTAAAAAGAAATGTCACTGGCATCAATCACTATTGCAATTGGTCCGATGGTAGCGACCGCCTGCTTCAGAGAGACCTCATTCCGCTCAACAAAGTAGTATCCTGAACAGTTAGCTGCACTGTAGGCAGGACGATAGCGACAGGTGCCATCCTAAAGAAGAGACAGGACACCCACCACATTAGAAAACGGAAACCTTCAAAACATGGACAAACACGAAATCAGCTTCATTATGATTCACAGTGTCAAATTAATTTAAACTTGTTTTTCTCATTTCAAGATTAGGAAACAGGTTCCTGTTCCTCTTCAAAATGAACATGAAATGGCTACAACATAAACCATTCAGACTTCTTCTTGTATTCTTGTATTTATTTCAGAATCAAGATGAGGATTTTGAAAGCTAGAAAGGAGTTGGGGCCACACCCTCCCAACTGTCAGTGTGAGAAAAAAGGACAAATTGAGTATTTTTACGTGTCAGGGTGATGAAACATTTGCATTGTAACTGGTATTTGTCTGACTGTGAAGAGGCAGATCTGCCTCTCAGAACTGAATTCTGGCCACAACTGAAATTATCATAAGTTAAGTTTAGCCTTTTTTGTTCCCATAGGGAAATTTGTCCTCTGCATTTGACCCATCCAGTACCACTGGGGCATCTCCTCAGGAGTGGTGGGCACAGCAGTGCCATGCCAGGGACCCATCTCCATGTTATTGTTGCTAGGCTTGGTCAGGACTATCTTAGCTGGAGGATTTTGCCTATGGAGCTTGTTTGGGGCTGCTCAGGGAAACTAGATTAAACCCATACAAACACAGGGAGAACATGTAAACTATACACAGAAAGGCTCGGAAGACCCGGGGATCGAACTCAGAACCTTCTTGCTGTAAAGTATGAGTCTTTACCTTTCCCTTATAGCGGTAGGAAGCTTCAGAATCAATGCCTTGATTTCCAATGACGTATTGGAGAGCATAGTGAGGCCATCCACCATTGCATCCGCATGTTCCATATGTCTTTGAGCAGTCCACAAGGTTCTGAGGGCTGAGGTCCACCTGCTTTCCTGTAGTCTTGGCTAACAGACCCTCCAGAGCTCCCACAACACTGAAGGCCCAGCACGACCCACACATGCCCTGCAAAATCAAATCAATATCATGTGCAATTAGTTTATGCATTTATAGAGACAAATAGCAAAGTGTTTTCTACCTGATCTTTGACACTGGTCACTAAGCCATCTTTTCTCCAGTCCACACTGTCTGGCACATCCTCGCTTGTTGCTTGAAGAGAAGTCGGTGTCATCTCGAAGTCCTTGTGAAGCTTCAGAGGGGCATATATTCTTACCACTTCCTCCTTGGTCTATGGGGTGAAAAAGGATTTAGCATTTAAAATAACAAGATTTTGATTAATTTATTTATAATCAATGTCAATGCTCTGCTTTTTCTAAAGCCAATTTTTGTCTGGTTGACAAATAGAATTTCTGCTTTGCCCTGGAATCTACCTGGACGACAGGGATTTTACATACATCTACAGCCAAGTGACTATTTATTGTGTTAAATGTTAAATGGCAATGATTAAAATCTGCCTTATATTCTTTTTGTATTTTGAGACAATATCTGGATGATTTAATAGAAGGCTATGACTGTGCAGATCTTATCTAGCTTTCTAGATAACTGTAAAAGGACACTTCATCTCACCCTAGAACAATTAATATCAACACATGGACTCAGAAACATGTTATGTAAGGAGAGAAAGGTTCAGCTCAGATGTGTGTGATCCCAAAGTCTGTATCAGTGATAAATATGTCTGTAGTCTGCAGTGCCCCTCTTGTTAAAGGTCTTCACCGTGGTTTTAACTCCATACATCCTTATTAGCCATAATCATAAAAAAAAGAAAAAAAAAAGAAGAAAAAAAAAAGAAAGAAAGAAATTAACCCTGGATCTGTATGTGAATAAATGGGTTTGGCTTCCTGAGATGAGAGACAAAAAATACTGAATTAATACCATTTCATGACATTAATTTATTTGTAGATGGGATAGTTATCTAAAAATAAAAGTTTTGAACATTGACCATCTGAGTGTGAAATACATTTTTTTACTATTTACTGTTTAGCTAGAAGATTTTTGGGAAGGTTCCTTTGTTTGTCAATAGTGCCCTCTACTGGCTGCAGCGTGAGAGAACCATATTAGGGAAACGTATTTTTCATTATTGTTATTTGTTGTATCTTGGATGAGAAAAAAGGACATGTCTATTGTTCAGATAAGATGGAGGCAGTGAAGTGGAAACCTCTGAGAAGGAACTGAACAAATGTTGAGCTACCACGAATCATAATCAAAGGCACAGTGTAATTTTAAAAAGTCCTACATTACACAAAATTGACTCTTGTGAGCTTTAAGCCATGTTAGAATGTTGTTACCTCCTTAAAAACATACCCGGAGTTGTGTTTTGTTTCATTCACACACGAGTAACCCTTTATTATTAGTATGTCCACATCTCCGAAGCTCAACATGCTCTGATCCAGCTTGTGATTTCAAGTTAATAGCTAGCCTACTTTTTTACCTTCAGTTCAGTAGAGAGTGTCAAATCCAAGCCTGAATCACCTCATCCAGATCAAACCTGGGCATTGTAGAGCTCCCGCGTCACATGTGGTTCTTTGGTCGACTATGACCGGTGTTCTTTTTCAATTTTTGTTTGCGTAGGCCTATACTTTTACTTGTTTAAATCTATATATTAGTCACATGCATTCCAGTGAATCTGAAGGTTAATTGAGTTCACCTTGGTCCTTGGTCCAACACAGTAGGCTATAGCAGGAAGAATAGGCTACTATAGTCAGTCCACTTTATTGAATAATTAAAGCAATAGTTTCATTACAGTAATGATCATGGTCTGTGACTATTACTTAACACTGGAGTTCAGACGACATGACAGATTACATTTAATATATCAATAATATCTATAATATTGTTAAAATGCTGATTTTTGTTGCAATGCAGCAAGTTCTAGGATGTGGTCACAATATGATCGGGGTCAACATTTGTGCATTTACTTTTTGTATATTTTATGGCAAAATGTCTTTTGCCCCGCATCTGGTTACATGACATTGAACCTATTCTTAAAATCGCCAATAGTTCACACACACTGTATTTCACTGAGACTGCTGTTGTCTCTTCTGTATATTTCCTTTAGAAATGACCATATATACTTTATTATGACTTCATAAAAAGGCCCATTCATCTACAAAAAAAACATACTACTACAGGTTGGGTTTCAGATGACATAACAACATTCTGTAGGCCAGATCTGGGCATTGTACAGCTCCCAGACCACATTCGCCACCAATTTGGAATTACAAAATACACATATTTTATCATTTTACCTCATGCATAGACTAAAGTTGCCTTGCTTTTAGAGGTTTAGAGTTTTTTTTTAAGGCGGCCTCATTTTTTCATTGGTTAGTCATAACATAAACTCTTAGTAGTCTTACCAGTGTGTCAAAACAATGCTATTTACTGTTTTTTTTATATAAAGAAATGCAATTAATATTAAGCAGAACTAAGTTATGCATTTTGGCCAGGCTCTCCACAATATTTTAGATGTTTAGATGTTTTAATGTCATACTGTGGAACATTCCACGTAGAGCAATGACATACCCATCGAAGCAAACAGCTGATGGACCCTCAACCAAAGAAGTTACACAATGCAGCTAAAAATCACATACTTTAAGTGTTTCTGTAAAACATAATGAGCAGCAGTGGGTTACCAGGTCAGACATGTGGTTCATCTCCATAGTGTATGTGTGAAGGCCCATAGATGCCTCCAGGTTGTGAATGTTGATTTGCATCAGGTTTTTCTCCCACAATGCTCTGCGGCCCATCTCCTCCACCTAAACACAAGTGAGAATTTTGAAAAAGGATTAATTACAGTTTTGAATAGCTGATTTATTTGCTAAACACTGGTATTACACACTAAAGTAAAGGTACTGTCAGTTATATACGCTAAACTAAGTTAAGTTTGTAAACAAGCAGTGGCGTCAGGGCAATCAATAAAATCTAAAATCATCGCATGTCAAAAGTATAATTAAATAGTTTCAAATGATATCAAAACTATGGTCTAGGCTTCTCTAATTTGACTCCAGAATGGCTCAGCATACATACAATTAATGTGAGTACAAATAAATATACTCATTTAAACTGTAGTTTGCATAAAAAAGTGGCGTTATTAAAATGTTATCGATTACATATTGATGTCCACCTCAAGTCTGCTGACCTAACCATAAAAGTCACCACTAAACAAGTACTGAAACTGTTACTACTGCAATTATTTTGTGTTTGTCAGCTATTATTTCTGGGTGTAAAGCACCTGATAAAAAAGAAACTGAAAACATTATAAAAATACTTGTAAATATACATGAACAAAAACAACTCTTTCAATAATAAATATGTAAAAGAGACGGTCAGCAAGTATTCTCCATAGAGACAGATACGTTTTATGCCATACTGGAATATTATAGCCAAGGAACATTATTTCCATGGAAACAAGCAGGAGGTGGCTTTCCTCCAGGGGAAATATGTGTCAGGTTTGTGGAAATGCAAGCCCGCTCACAGTAAGAACACAATCATGTGTATAAGTGCAATTAAAAAAAAATAACATCCTTTTATTTTCGTCTGTTTTCGTCTATAAACTTAAGTATTGGGGCTTACTTGAATGTACTTGTAGGATAATCAGTTTTCTATGTATTAATTCTTTGTTTTTGTTTTCCTCCATTAACTGTTGATTGTTGTTACAGGGGCTAACTAGGCCTACATTTAAACTTAAATCAGCAAAATAAACATGGTGTGGGGTTGGATTGGGGCTCGCAACTGTAAAAGGCTCTAAATTATCATGTTATGTGAGCACCCGCACTGAAGAACTTTGCACCCCCAAAGCTCCTCCAACCAAAAATGTCTTGCTCTGCTCCTGCTCTCAAGTAACTACAGAATAACTTTGCGTAAATAAGTTCAAATATTATGAGACTTTCTGGGCCGACTATAATCAGTCTAGCACATCCCTGCTCCTTTTAACACACACCTCATTCTGGTATTTCTTTTGGAACGTCTTCTTCCACAGGTCCCAGTGCTTGTCTAGTGTGGAGTCCAACTCAGCCCAGACTGTGGCACAGAGCAGAGCCAGCAGCCAGCCTCCCACCACCACACCTGCACACAAGAGTTCACAGTAGGCCTGTCACTGTAACACATTCTGAAGTGTGATATATTACTGAAGAAAATATACACAATAACTACTAAAACTAACTTATGACACAATAACACCAAAGCAGAAAAAAGAAAAAGAAAAAGCAGAATAGAACACTTTAACAGTTAGTTTATATGAGGGGGTCATAGTTTTCATTTGTTTATTTAACCCTCTACAGCTCAAATCTTATTGTAGTAGTAGGCTACAGAAAAATAAAAAGTTTTCCAACAGTACAAACAAAATGTACCCACAACTGTCCACTTCTTATTTTAAGTTGAGCAGTGGATTGACTGAGTGCTTGCCCATGGTTCAAGGTTGGTGGTTCGAACCCAATTCTTACCGCCATTGTGTCCGAGGCCAAGACACTTCCCCCACCTTGATGATGTAAAAGTGTGGCGTATGAGACAGTGGTTGGTGGTCAGAGAGGCTGATGGTGCAGTTTAGAGTTTTTCTTCTGTACTTCCATTAAAATAAGTTGAAGTTCATCCAGCCATGTTGTTCTCATTTTTGTTGCTGGTTTGATGAGCTTCACCTTTACATAGTCCTACTGCTGCTGCTGCCCTGTGATTGGTCTGAACCACTGGCTCTGGAAGTCAGTTAAAGTCATTTTTTTTTTTTTTTTTTTTTTATCCTTAACAAAAACCTTGATTCAGCAGTTTATGTTTCATTTTCCTCTGCAGAGTTCCACTTCATTTCAGAGTAAAGCTTGTTGTGAGCTCAGTCATGACAGCATCCGGAGTAAGTGAAAGTAGTGTATATTATTCTGTAATTTTCCATTTGTCAAAACTACAGAGAGAAGTGAAACATGCTTACCACCTGCTTCTGCTTTTAACCTTTAAATAAACATAATTCTCAGTAACACCCCAGATACAGTGTAGAGTGTTAGAGAGTGTTAGAGTAAAATCATCTGAACAAAGTAGGCAATCAAAATAAATGTAGTCTCATCTCTAGAGCGGTGTTTGTCAAATTGTGGCCTGTGTGTGTCAGTTGTAAGTGCAGCCCTCTGTAATTTTGTTTTGTTTTTTACAGACAAATCTTTTCATGTTTTTGTCTTCCTTTGGGCTAATCAATATGGTTTTGTCTCATTTGTTTAGCCCTAATTTAGACTTGATGAAGTTCTGGTTGAAGTCAGTCAGTTGTTGTAGAGCCTACTGTTGTTTCTATGTGGGCATTTAAGAACTGCTGCATGCACTTGCCAATACATTTTGAAAAGCTGCAATTTTGCAATGACACAAAATGTTCTAATACTGTATCGTCCTCATTAATCTTGAGTCTTGTGGGAAACGTGTCTTGACCCACTAAAAGTAAGACCCCAAACCAGTCCACTGTGCTGAAAGACGAGGTTCTAACACAATCCGTGTATCATTCGTTCATTCGTTTTTCAATATAAAACCAAAAATAAGAAAACGAAAAAACAACAGTTTTCTTCGTTATTTGTCTCCAAAACCAAAATGAAAAAACGGATAACGATTCGTTTTTTCAGTTTTCGATTTTGTGTTTAAATGAAGAATAGAAAAAACGGATAACGGTCGTTTCCCGTTTACGTGACTTCCGTGACTGCGATACCGAACTTTTGCACCGGGTACGGACTGAACCAGGACTGATCCAGGTCCGAGACCAGAGCGGGACTGAGACCGGGACCAGACCGGGACTGAGACCGGGACCAGGGCGGACTCCGAGCTTTGACTCCGAGCCTCCACGGGGTCCGAGCCTCAGCTTCGAGCTCCGGCCCTGCCGTGGGCTCTGAGCCTCCGGTCTGGTCCCGGTCTGGTCTTGGTCTTGTCTCGGTCTCAGGCCCGCTCTGGTCCCGGTCTGGTCCCAGTCTCACCGCATACGGACTGAATCAGGACGGATCCAGGTCCAAGACCAGACCGAGACCAGAGCAGGACTGAGACCGGGACAGAGCTGCTCTGGTTCTCCGCGCTCAAGAACCGCGGCTGGTTCCGAGGTGGTGCAAAGCCTCCGACTGACGCATTCACACCAATGAAAATGAATCGAACTAAGAGCTTTTGGTTCAAATGGACCAGGTCCGGGACCAGAGCGCTACTGAGACTGGGACCAGACAGGGACCAGAGCGGGCCTGAGACCAAGACCGAGACAAGACTAGGACCAGACCGGGACCAGACCGGAGGCTCAGAGCCCACGGCAGGGCCGGAGCTCGAAGCTGAGGCTCGGACCCCGTGGAGCTCAGAGTCAAAGCTCGGAGTCCGCCCTGGTCCCACCCTGGTCCTGCCCTGGTCCCGGTCTCAGTCCCGCTCTGGTCCCGGTCTCGGATCAGTCCTGGTTCAGTCCGTACCCGGTGCAAAAGTTCGGTATCGCAGTCACGGAAGTCACGTAAACGGGAAACGGCCGTTATCCGTTTTTTCCATTCTTCATTTAAACACAAAATCGAAAACTGAAAAAAACGAATCGTTATCCGTTTTTTCATTTTGGTTTTGGAGACAAATAACGAAGAAAACTGTTGTTTTTTCGTTTTCTTATTTTTAGTTTTATATTGAAAAACGAATGAACGAATGATACACGGATTTAACACTCATACAGAGCAATAACAGATGTCATATTTTCACTGAAAAAACATCATTCCAATGAAGATTTTTAACATGATTATGATTACACATGCTAAAACGCGTCTGTTTATGTCCTGGCTCAGGTTCAAATGGATACTGCACAGACAGTGATAGGCTACTGTTGTACCTTTAGGTTTGTCTTATTTGTTGTTTTTTATGGTTGATTTTACTCGTTAAACAAAGAGTCTTTTATTCACAGTCACAGACACAACACATCAAGAGCTAATGCAATAACCTACTTGTTTAAACGATGCACACTCTTTTATAACCTACGTGTGGCCCGTATGACATTTAGACTAAAATACACGTAAATTTCAAATAAACTAGCTCGTGCTTACCTGATAATGTCATATCTGGAGGAGGTTGGAGTTGGTCAGATTTGCTCGTGAGCTCGTGGAGTGACTGACGTGCAGAGTGAGTGCTTTTGAGCGCTCACCTGACGCACGGCGACGCTTCGGATGCTCAAGGGAAGTGGCGCGTGCGAGCCACGCCGTGAAGAGCTTTAGCTGCGTGTGCATCTTTTTAAGGCATAATAAAAGCACACGTTACATACAGGTCACATACACATACAAACTGCGCAGATCCAGGAAAATAATACACATGCTCTTTGCTTCAAATAAACAACTTCAGACTGAAATGAGAACCTATTAATATTTTTAAATGGTCTTATGTGCACAGAACACGTTTCCTTTTCTTTAGCTAACTAAACAGAGTAGTAAAAATGTAGGTTACTCAAGTAATAGTAGTCCTAAAATTTCTTCAAAATAATTTTAGTACAACAGTGCAAGAAGTAGTAGGCAGTAAGCCCAGTGAGTATAAGTTATTGCTTAACCAAAATTAGGGCAAACTAGAATAACAAGACCAGCTGAACATATGTGATTTACAACTAGAATCTAATATAATTGGAAGGACAAAATATTAAGGAATGCACAAAAATATGAGAGAAAAATAGACTACTACTTAGAGTTGTACTGTCACTCATTTTTTTGAATGAAAGGTGCATTGTGTAACTTTTCTGGTGAAGGGTCCACCAAATACTTTTCTTCATGGAGATGTTATTGCTTTGTCTGGAATATTTCACAGTATGGCATTTAACATTTCTATCTTTATGGAGACCAAACCAGACCAAGTTGCAGGTCAGATCTGTGGAGTGGCAGCCTCCCTGTTTTTATTTTTGAGCTATAATTGAGCCTGTAATAGAATAAGTGTAAGGTATTTCAGTTTAATGTCACATTGTGGAACATTATAAGCTGAGCAGTGACATATCCATACAAACATGCAGGTGAGAGATCTGGAAAACAGGAAAAGTTACACAGTGCACCTTTACACTAGAGTCCTGATTAAGACTGGCCACACACCAAACGTCAGCAAATAAAAGATGACGATGCAGATGAAGATTTGTGTGTTCTGAACCATCTGGTGTAAATGTCCTTTTTTACTTAAATTGCGAATTGTTCTTTTAAGTTGACACAATATAAAGAAAGAATCATATATTTGAATTTGTTGCCTGAGATGGTGGTGATGGTGGTGAAAATGATTTTAACATACACCTCAATACATGGATTAAAACATATTTTTATTGTTCAGGAAGTATTAATAAAAGCACATATTTCAGATCCTGTACATTCAAAAGAGTGTAAATGTTTAGTTATTTTTATTATGTGAAAAAAACATCTGTACATGAGGACATGGGAAGTCCTATATGTTGCAGTATGTAGCATAGGTTGCAATGCCGCACATATCACCCTTGTTACGTGCGATCCGAATGTAGCCATTTTCTCCCCATCCAGTTCCCCAGCTACAAAAAAAAAAAGTAAAATAAAACAAGAGAACACAATGTCAGAGTCATTTGGTCTTTATATGGATGACTAAATCTGAGTTCAAAAGTTAATGTAACTAGAATCATAATATGCCTTAAACTGATGGAGTTCATTTTAAAGGGCCCACATTAAGCCATTTTCTGATCTGATCTGAGGTTATAATGTTGTTTCCTCATCACACACATACCTGGAGTTCACACATGTTTAACACACACACCCTGCACATTCAGGCTGTGTTCTTCTCTCAAACAGAAAACACTCTGATCCACCTTGTAATTTGGAAATATGGAAGGTGACCCACTGTGTTTTTAATCTCCACACACCTTCACTAGAATCAGTTGAAGATTTCAGCCCTCGAATTGCCAACTTCTACTAAACAAAAGGTGACGCTGCATGTATGTGTTATGTAATTTCCTGCCCTATATAAGAGGGAGAAAGGCGCACACTTTTGAAGTGTGGAGGTAAACAGTGTTTTGACTGTCGTCTGTGGCATGCTGAGATCTGTGTATTATTTAGAGGGCTAAAAGCTATCCCAATAGATACTAAGGAACACAGTATTTTCTGGATTCTCTTTTATGGAAGACATTTGAGATGCCACACATAATGTAGCCTAGCGGACCTTGCACAGGGCAAGTTTTGGCTGCTACAACAGCTGTTAACTTCAAAATTACAGCTTCATGACATCATAAAGTGAAAGAGAGCATTTTGAGTTTTGGAGATGTAAAAAGACTAACAATAATAAAGAGTTACTCAAACATGTTTGAATGAAAGAAAAACACAACTCCCGGTATGTTTTTGATGAGGTAACAACATTCTAACATGACTCAAAGCTCACAAAAGTCAGTTTTGTGCAACAACATCTCACCTGTTTTTCACCAGCCAGTAGTCCACACCATTATCTGTACCATATCCTACGAGCAGAACTGCATGGTCTACCCTACCCTCAATGCAGGTTGGATCTGAGAATATTCCTAAAAACAAACACCATGAAGTTATGTGTTCAAAAAAACTAAATAAAAAAAGAACTTACAGTTATACATACAAAACTTACCAGAATGATAATAAAAAATCAGGTCAGCATCAATTCCAACAGAGATGGGACCAATCCTAGCAAGTGCCACCTGTAAAGCATACTCGTTCCCTCGTTCCACAAAGCTGTATCCAGAGCAGTTAGCTACTCTTGATGCAGCATTGTATCTACAAGTATCATCCTAAAAAGAAGTCAGAAAAGATATGTTTTTATTCCTATTAAACATGAAGAACTATAAGAACTGTAAACAAGACACTTTCTGACGCCATAACCCAACCAACTAGACTGATTATAAATATATTATTAACATTGATTGGCATGTAGAATCCTGAACAATGCACCTCTTAAGTACTTTGTTCAGTCCACATCTGTAGTGACAACCAGAGTGACACGTGCCTCCACCAGGGGGCAGTGTACCATACCAAAACTTCATTTGCACAAACCACATTCTTATAATGCAATAAAGGTGGAACATGGAAGAATCTCCCAGCTGAACTAAAAAGCCAAACAAACTACGCAACATTCTGTGTGGAGCTTGGTGGTGAAAAGTGGTTGTGGAATAGCCAAACCTTCTGACAATAATAACAAGATGCAGTTGGTGGTTTTCAGATTCTAGATTCTAGAATTATGAGAATGTTGCATACTCTCAGCTGGGGGAAAAGACAGTTATTCCTGTTCATATTAAAACCCTTAATCTGTATTTTTTCCAGAATTCACAGAAATGTGTTATCTGTTGGATCGACAAAATGTTCAGCCAGCTTTCCAAAAGAAAAATTCAGTTCTTCCTACTGATAACATTGTATTTTGCTATGTGAAATCCAAAAGGTAAATTCACAAATGTCCAAGAGAATGGACAGTGTGATTGCTCTTATTGTTGACTAAATGTAATTGCATTGTTCTGTAAATCAGGGACCGCAGATGGAAACTGGTCATTTAGCTATAATCTGATGTGGAACATTTGTGTGTTTATGAGCTTAATGTTTCTGTACATTGTACATGTAAAGGTGCACTGTGTAACTTTTCTGGAGAGGGTCCACAACTTGTCACAGTGGAGATGATGATGCGTTGGTTTAAATTTCCATTGTATGGCATTAAACAAATCTGTTTTGCATTTATTCAACTACAGGTGTTATTTCTTGATAAAAAATTTCTTAAAAATATTCATTCTTACTGCAAGTGGGGTCATCTCTCCACAAATCTAACCTGTTATTTGGCTTGCAAAATCTCCATGAAGTTTCTTAAGTTTATGGCCATACTGTGCAACATTCTAGACACATCTCCATGGAGACAAGCAGGTGACAGACGGTACACAGTGCATATTTAACTAAAGTGTTAAATATGGTTCAAAACCAAGTTTTAAACCGTATTTAAAACATGGATGAGTGGCAAAAACTAGGCTATTCACTCTGAAAAACATTTGTCCAGTTGATAGAATTAAATGTTCTTTTGTGAAAGTCCAGTAATGTATCGGAACATTAAAATGCATGTATATTTACCCTTCCTTCATAGGGGTATGAAGATTCAGACTCCAGGCCATGGTCAACGACGTACTGAAAGGCTTTCTCCATGTAGCCCCCTCCACACCCAAAGTTTCCATATGTTGTTGCACAGTCCACCATCTGCTGGGGGCTGAGGTCCATTAGTTTCCCTGTGCTCCTATACAAATGACCCTCCATGGCCGCAGCCACACTGAAGGCCCAGCACGACCCACATGATCCCTGTACAGCAGGATCAAAGTACACAGGGATCAGTTTTATTAGATGTGACAGGTTGGTCTCCATTATTCACTAAAACATACTTAACATAATTATACAGAGGATTTTTCTTTAACTGTTGGTGATGTTTATAATTTTACTTTCTGGTTGGACACAGGCAGTAGCCATCACAGAAGTCTCATAAAGACGACATCAGTCGCACTGTGACCCAGATCCTTTCCTTTCTTTATTTTGTTGTTTTAATTCTACAAACAACGATGCCGGCCCACTAATTTTCTGCTTCAGATGTGTTAGTTTGGCTAAGCTAGCAACCAATAACTGAAAATGTAACAGTTAAGACTTAGTTAAGGCTTAGTTTAGACTTAGAAAAATAAAAGAAGGTTTTATATTGGTAATAAGGTATTTAAAGTAATTTTTATTGACTGGCAGATTGTTAAGTGTAGTATATGTTAGTGACCACTTGAGGGAGCACTACAGCTGCTGTATGTATTTAATATGGCGAAACAAACCAATACCATTGTATAAAATGTGGAAATGTTAAAGAAACAGGACTTCTGGTGACCTCTAATTGCACTGATTCTTATGGGAGAATCCCCAGCCATATACAGAGGTCATTTCATAACTCTTACCTAGCAACCATACTGTTACCAAGAGTCAACTCTTGACAAAATTGAAAGTTAAATATGTCCAAAGGGGGCACTTAATGTGAAATGTTACAGAATCACATTTTTTACCTGATCTTTGACAGCAGTCACATAGCCTTTTGTCCTCCAGTCCAGACTAGGTGGTAGATCTGCAGGGGGTTTGAGTACAGATGTCGTCCTCTTCAAATCTTTGGGAATTCGTAGCGTGGCATACATCTGCTTTGCTTCTTCTTTAGTCTGTATAATAAAAAGCAATTGTAAAGGACACATTTTATTAACATGATAGCTGAAGGCACTGCTGAAACACTTTGAATGCTTATGACAGGGTGGACTACTCATTAAGCCACAGTTAAGATTCAAGATTTTGCATACCAAGAGGTTTTAAATGTTTATGTTGATTCCTTTTTACATCTTATCATGTAAAAATCAGTATATACACAATAGGTCTGCACAATATGTGAAAAGACTGCAAGATGGCTGTTAAAGTGAACTCAACACTAAATCAGCTTTTTGGCACTAAGCTATATTTATGTATTTAATAGCACAGGTAGGTCATGTTTGTGAAATTTCAAATCTAAATCCTACATATTGTTATTTTAAGTTTGTATGAAATGAAAAAGATGAATGCGTAGGTTACCAGGTCAGACATGTGGTTCATCTCCATAGTGTAGGTGTGAAGGCCCATAGACTCTTCCAGGTTGTGAATGTTGATCTGCATGAGGTTTTTCTCCCACACTGTTCTGCGATGTACCTCCTCCACCTCAAAACAAAAACCTACATGTTATTTTGTGATTGTGACACGAAGGCTGCAACTAATTAATAATGTTTCTGCTACTTGATTAGGGATGGGACAAGATCTCGTGCCACAAGACCTCGCGAGACAAAACTGCCACAAGAAAAAAAAAAATTCTCCCTGAATTTATCTTTACTTTAGAGCAAAAATAAGCTGTAGTTCCAAAAAGCAGTACTACAATGACCGCTAAAGTATTAAATAAAAGAAATAAATACTGAAGCTAAAATTGTGAAATGGATTGCACTACTTATTTGTTACACATTATTTCTCATCTTAAAATTTCGCCTTGTTTCATTCTCGTGGTGTGTCTCATCTCACCCCAGTAATTGATTATTCTCTTATGCTTACAATGAATGATGTTGATTTGTTATTTAAAAGGTCTTGGCCACATTTTTATGCAGCGCTTTTCCACTTTCAAGGAACTCAAAGCGCTTTACATCAAGGAACCACTCTCACATACTCAGTGTTCATTTCAGTGCAATAAAAAGATCGATCCATCCCCACACACCTTGTTCTGGTAATTTTTCTGATGTTTCATCTTCCACATCTCCCAGTGACTGTCCAGGCTGGAGTCCAGCTGAGCCAAAGCCACAGTGGAGTAAAGAGCCAGCAGCCAGCCGCCGACCAACAAACCTGCACACAACAAGGTGACAAAGAAATGAAAGGTTAGAAGTCACTAGTAAAAATATGTCAGCTATGTTATTTAAATGTAAAATTAGCAAGTGTAATCGAAAATGAGGTACTATCGATATACAGGACAGAAATGAACCTTTCCTGAATGGCTTTAGAATGATCTTGAGCTGTATCAGAAATTTAAGAGCACATAAACTAGAACACTATGGAACCTACTTGGACCACTGAGGGATTACACAGATATAAGACCACATCGTAATATAAAAAGTACTATTATTTAAAGTTCAAAATGGCATTCTGTTGTCTGAATAAAAAGTGTTTTTGTTTGCAGTTATTGTGGTTTCAGAATTGGTATTGAGTGTCGCGTACATGCCTTACTATCGAAATCACGTTTGAATTTTCATTATTAACCCGTGTATTAACTATCAAAAAAGTCCACAGATGGAATTTTAACTGTACAAAATGTTTACATTGATATAAGACAAGACTAAAACGGATGAATACAGAACTAAAAAATAAAAACAAGATTAAGGTCACAGAATAAATATGGGTTTATACTGTAGGAAGTGGTTTGTGGTGTTTACTGCAGGTGCATTCACACAAAGGTGCAGGTGCTGGTGCAGTCACACTTAATGCGAATGTGTGTTCATGAGAAATTCACTAAAAGGAATGTAATGTTTTTTCCTGCTCGAAAACATACCTAGAGTTTTGTTGTTGTTGTTGTTAGTTTCATTCACACATAAACCCTGCATATTTAAGATGAGTTCTTCTCTCAAACGGAAAACACTCTGTTCCACCTTGTGATGGTATGTAGTAATACAGGAAGCGCTCCACTGTGTTTTGAAACTCCACACACCTTCACTAGACTCATTTGGACGATTTCAGCCCTGGAATTTTCCATGTCTATTGAACTAAAGGTAGCTGATAACTTGAAAACTACCGCTACATCACATCACAAGGTGGGACAGAGCATTTTGAGCTTTGGAAATGTAAACAGGCTAATAATAAAGGGTTACTCAAACATACGTGTACTCCCTGTTTTAAATGAGGTAACAGCATTATAACGTGGCTTAAAGCTTACCTGGACCTGTAAAGAGTAGTGCAATTTCAAGTCAAGATTTAGTAAACCAAGAGTTGAAAATTGTTGATTCCTTTTTACATCTAGTCATGTAAAAGTTAATAAATACAACAAGAGGTCTGCACATTATTTGAAAGGATTGAGAGATGGTTGTTAAAATGTAACTAAACACTAAATCAGCTTTGTCCTAATCCTTTCTGGCAATTTTAGAGCAAGCAATAAGTAACTATTTGCAGTTTTGTGATCAAAGATTTGTAAAAATGTGTCCTGACTCCAGTGGCCTTTGCAATTTCAGGTATCACGAGATCATGAGAAACTGCTGTGATTACAAACACGATAACAGCCAAACACCTGACTGCCAGGGTTTAAAGTGTGGATACCTGTTTGACCAATCACACTGTTCCTTTTACGCCCAAACCCCGCCCCTCCTCCTCTCTCACTCTGGTCTTTAGTTCTCCGGGTAGCTCTTTTTGAAATGTTGTTTTGGGTAGAGTTTGCGTCTAATTCTACTTTAAGTACTGCAATATCAATAGCTTTTTTAAATATAATATTTTTAGCAGAATAATTTCTATGGAAGCCCATTTCTGCCAGTAAATAAAAAAATAAAAGCCTTACAAGAAGTCTTAATTATGAGTTTAAAAGTCATAATTACAAGTTTAAAACTTATAATTACAATTAATACATAACATAATTACTGACAGAAATAGGCTTCCAAACATTTCAGTTGGATTGAAGGAAAAATATCTCAAATCAACAATGAAAATGTACGAAATAAACAAAACCACTTTTGGTGGTATATTTAATTGGTTACATTAGTGTCAGCCTGTACTGCGATAATGATACTTTAGATACTTTAAAAGTACAATGTCTGTAATCCTAGAACCCTGATCCTTCCTTTCTTTGTATGAATTTCAACTGCATATGAAATTCATGTTTTTGTAATTATACTTTTTCTTGGTTTGGTGGGATACAGCATGAGTTAAATACATTTTTCATAGTTATAAATGAGTTAAGTGACAGTTCGTGGAACAAAAGTTGAGCAGAAAGTTGAGAAGTAAAGTACACAAATACAGGAAGAAGCACTGAGAAATCCATCTACCTATTATCAGCGCAAAATGCAAGCAAGGATCAAGTTTCAGATCAGTTTTCAGATCAGTTTTCTAAGCGTCTGAACATTTATTTAGCAAAATAATTGTGTTTTTAGTGATCAGATCATACCTATTGTGTTAATTAGACAAGCTTGGGTCAACATTAGGGTTGCTATAGGTAACAGTTATAGAATTATATTTACATATGTCACATCTGCTGCCTGTGTTCAACCAGGAACTAAAACAAAAATTAGGAAAAACTATTCAAGTTATGCAGTATAATTTGAAATATGGGTTTAATAATACATTTTAATGAATTATCTCGTCTGTTATATGCACTTCAAGGTGATTACATTGTGTTAAAATGTCTATAGTTTAATTTTAATAGCTGCAGATGCCAACATTGTGATAAACATCTGTTTTGTCCTATGCTCTACTCCAGTCTCCACACAAAAGAGGAAGTGCATTCAAGTGCAACATGAGCTCCGTAAAAAAATGTTGCTCGGCCAGTCAAACATTCAAAATAAAACTCAAAACATTAACATGGACTATTTTACTGCGGTTTTGGGTACAGTACGAACTATTGCTATTTTAATCTGAACACGACTATTAACCTAGTTTATAATACAATAATTTTTTCAGGGTGGTGTAGATAATTACTGGTAAAAACACGTTCCACCGGGTTTGAAAGTAGCCTTATTGTTTGCGGATTCGTTGTTCAGCAGGTTGGAGAATACGTTACAAAAATGGTACAAAATGGTTTCACTTTTATCTAAAAAAAGATTTGAATCACTTCAGTTTTTAGGCATACAACTGTTATTTCATTTTAAACAAGATTATTATATTAAACTAGCCAACCTTATTTTGTACGGTTTAGCTAGGAGTCTAAGTATAGCCTTATTACTTACTGTTAATTATTTATTGTACTGATACAACATTTTATAACCTGCTGACCTATTTCTTACCCTCCAAACTTACCGTAAACACCGTCAAGTTGTGAATTTTAAAGCAATCGGCAGTTATATTTTTACACTGATCACAAATATTTGCATATATCGCCAATTTTCTTAACTTTCCCGTAACAGTAGCCTATTATTTGTCATAAACTCACACCTTTCTAGCTTTCATCCCACTTTAACCCCACCTGTGGTCTCGCTGGTCACCTGTACCCAAATCCCCCCCCCCCCCCCCCAGACGCACACTCAAAGTAAAAGTGAAAGTGCGTCCTTTTTACGCAACGTTTTCCCAGTGACCCCCAGTTTTGATCCTGATTCATCTCCTTTCAACACTCACCTTTCCAAGTCGAATGCATCGTGGAAGTGTTGTTGATCGGTCGCGGGATTTCGATTTTATAGAAACCCGAGAGTCACGTGTTGGTGTGGAGTGCCGGAGGTGAGTGATTTTTGATGATCCCTGACGCACGTACGGCGCGGGCTGCGGTTCAGACGCGGAAGAGAAGCGACTGGAGGAGCGCAGGAGGGAGAGGGGTGAGTGGGACGACCAGAAAAGACGCTGTGGCTTTACACGGCCTACATTTTGAACTGACTGTTGTCTGCAATCAGTGATGGAAAGAGTAGGCTTTGATGTACTAATGTAAAAGTAAAATTACGCGTAGGCTTGTCACGAAAACAGATTTTAAATTGGATCAGTGGTGGAAGAAGTTGGCGTACTCAATTTTGCTGCTTAAGTAAAAGTACACACAGAGGCCAAACGTTTCATATGAAAAAATCTGCTGAAATAAAAGTATTAAAGTATTCCACACATAAGCCTAGATTGTTAAATGTAGTAATATTGATAATAATAAAAATATATACAGGTTTTGGTCAGAAGTGTCAATACGGATCAGTTTCTTATGAATTTTGTGTATTTATTTTTGTTGAAACTTAAAGGTGCACTGTGTAACTTTTTGGTTGGGGGTCCATCACCTGCTTGTTTCTAAGGATATGTCATTATTCTGTCTGGAATGTTCCACAGTGTGACATTAAACAGATCTACTTTACAATTATTCAGTTACAGGTGGTTTTATAGCTCAAAAATACACAGAAAATCAAGCAGTTCTGACTGTGAGTGGGGTCGCCTCTCCACAGATCTGACTTATAACTTGGTCCGGTTTGGTCTCCGTGATGATAGAAAGGTTTAATAGCATATTGTGAAACATTCCAGGAAAAGTAATAACATTTCCACGGAGACAAGCATTTGATGAACCCTTACGCAATGCATTTTTAAACTGAAAATGTGTAGTCAGGATGTTACTATGAACATGGTAAAAAAAAAGTACTTTTATTTTTCAGTCCTGTTCAGAAATGTAGTGTAGTAGATAGCACAGATACCTGCTCTCACATCAAGTAAAAGTAAAAAGTACCCACTGTAAAATGTACTAAAGTACACTAAATTCTACTAAAATAAAGCACTTTACTACATGTACTTTTTTACGTTCACAACTGAAGTGATATTGCTGAAGAAAATATACATAATAAATAACAATGATACTGAAACAAATGTAAGCCACTGACACAATAACCTTAAAGCAAGACTACTCCCAAATAAAACTATTTTGAATGTATGTTATTGTTCAAAAACACAAACTGAAATGAATAAATAACAGAATGAAACTCTTTAGTCAGTTAGCTTGTATTTGTAATGAGTCACAGAAGCCAGAACAAATTGGGAGAACAGAAAAAAAACAACAAGTTCCCCACTAGTACAAAGAAAAAATTACCCAACATAAATAGTTCATGTTTGAGAGAAGAAATCTGAATATGCAGAGTTTGCGTGTTTCCAGCTATGTTTATGATGAGGAAACAGCATTCTGTCTTTGCCCCAGTATCGGTTCATATCAGAATACTGGCACACACTTAAAGCTGCAGGATATATTTAAGGATGACTGAGGGATTAATATAGGCTTTAACATATCATACATGCATACCACATTATTACATCATAGTAGGCCTGTTTACATCGACTTGTGTTGTAACAAGTCACATGAAAATCAGCATTTGTATGAGTATGTGCTTAAATATATACATGAGTAAGAGTGAGTTTGGCCTCCCGTCATGATGTAGAGAGGAAGTAACATGTTGTTTAAATTAGAACTGTGAAACATTGTAGGTTAGAGAGATAAAGAAAACTGTGGTGAATATGATAACCACATGCGTTAACCACTCTTACAGCACATCTTATTGTTTGTATGGCATTCTTACTACTTGTACAGTTGCATTGCTCGTGAATGATTGCGTGTGGTAACTACAACTGTGCGCTTTTTAGAGAAGATACTGGATTCTTTTTCAATTCAGTTTAATCTTTATTAAGAACACGTCATATCTGGTTCATAGTATTAAAAAGAAAATAGTAAGAATACAAATTTAAATACAGTGCATGTTATAATGTGTACAGACAAGACTCCACAGCTTATGCCGGGTATACACTGTGCGATATTTTTGGTCCTGTCACTCAGCCCTAGCTTAAACTGTACAACCAAATCACAGAGTTTAAAAGTTCACAGCTCACGAATCATGTTCTCACACTATACGAACCGATGCTCGGATGCGACCTGCCTGCGCACACTGTACATTCACATAACGACCGGAGTTGTCGTTCCGGAAGTAGAAAACTACGAAAAAGAAAACCATGGGATTAGAAAACCGCAGACATGTGGAGACACAATGCTGATCCGGGCAAAAAACAGTCACGCTACCTTGGCAATCTGTGCCATTCTCTGTGCAGACAAGCCCAAAAAGAAGAAGCGACGAATATGGTCAAAGAAATGGCCGAGTAGATGTGGGCAGTACGGGTTGTCAGTTCTTCAGAGGGAACTAGAGGTAAGTAGTTCTTCACCAAACTTCGGTTCTGTGTTGCTTGGTTAACTACGCCTCCATGTCCTGTGTCCAAAACAATCTAAGGTCCCGCCAGCATCCTCCACAAATCATATCTCATATCCTGCTTCCGCTTCTATGTCCGAGCATGTGCAGTCTGACAGATTCTAGCAAATCGACTTGTGGAACTACTTCAACAGAGCGAAACCCTCACGAGAGGCAACTGGATTTTAAACAAATTTGATATTCTTGCGACCTACGAATGCCAATCGGGAGCTGGTCGTGAGGTATTAATCGGTTCTCTTTACCCCATGTTTACTACACGAAGCACGACACATGATGAAGCCAAAACTCGGCCCGATCCCCAAAACAGTTGCACGAGTGAAAAACTGGCTCAAAAAGGGTTAAAAATCGCACAGTGTATGCCCAGCTTTAGAGGAGAATCTAACAGAGCTCCTCACAGGACACACTAGAGATTCAGTGATTCAATGCTGAATAATTGATAACTCAGATTCATGTCTCTACACGTAAATGAATAAATACAACATCTGATTGTGACTACACAGGGTCTCACGCCACAATTTACAAACATTTCACTGGTGCTACAGAACCTAGGCTCATTCATTTATATTCTCAAAGAGTCGTTATAGGCCACTATCAAACTCTGCAAACTCTCTAAACTCTTTTTTGTAATTATAGAAGATGGGTTGTTGTTAGGACGAGGCAATGTGACTTAAAGTGTTAACTGATATAATAAAAAAGACATAAAGTGACAAAAGATACATATAATTGTTAATAGACCTAAACCTTAAAGGGTTGTATCTGATCTTTTTCCATGTATTTGAGCTAAATGTGCTTGTCCCAGTACACATATATTGTATAAGCAAAATAAATCTGCTGTGTACTGTCTGCATCTAAGTGTTTTATTATCCAACTATCAGGAAGTGCGTGTAAGGGTGTAACGATATCCAAGTTTCACGATACGATATTGTCACAGTATGAACCTCACGGTACGATATTTATTGCGATATCCTGGGAAAGCTCATGATATGGTGGGGAGACTCATGATTAGGGATGTAACAATATCCAAATCTCTCGGTACGATATTTTCACGATATACATCTCACGGTACGATATTTATTGCGATATTTTGTGGAGGCTGAAACTGTGAATATGCTACTTTTTCCTCTTAAAATGCCTTGACAAGACTTAATTCAAAGAACTAAGACTTAAAAGTGCTTAGTACTGTTATTTCTTCCTGTAGTCTGCACTGAAATGGAGCAAAGTCATGGTATATGTAGTTCCCTCTGTCTTTTTTTAGTTATTGCTGCACCATAACTCTTAATTTAAGCAAAGAGACTTGTAATTCGATATATTGTGATGGTCCACGATATTACTGTGAGAACTTTGACGATACGATATCACAATATTTCGGCTATTGTTGCATCCCTAGTTAGCAGGTTAGTTGTTGTAAGCTTTATCATTATCACTGAAATACTGTATATAACATCATTGCGGTGAATAATTAGGATACAGAATGTGTAAAGTAAGTGATCAATAATTTTGGATCACTGAAAACTAGTTCTGTTTTTAATGTTTTTAAGACAGTAAAAATCAGGTACATGTCTAAAGGCTGCATATTACGCTATTTTTTGATCTGTTATAATGTTGTTTCCTCATCAAAAACATAGCTGGAGTTGTGTTTTGTTTCATTCACACATGTTTAATACACAAAATCTGCATGTTTAGGCTGAGTTCTTCTCTGTTCCACCTTGTGATGTCATGTGGTTATACAGAAAGTGCTTCACTGTGTTTCGAAAACTCCATACACCTTTTTCTTTAACCATTTGGATGATTCCAGCCCTGGAAATGCCAAAGTCTACTGAACAAAAGGTAAAAGGTACATGACATCACAAGGTGGAACTGACCATTTGGAGCTTTGGAAATGTAGACAGACTAATAATGCAGGATTGAATCAAACATATGTGAATGCAACAAAGCACAATTCTCAGAATGTTTTTGAGGAAGCAACAATATTATAACGTGACTCGCCAGAATCAGTTTTGTGCAGTACAGGAGTTTATAAGAGTTTTTAACAAGTTTGACTTTTTCAGCATTTTTTTTTTTTTTCCAGCATTTTTTCTCTGCAGAGCCTCTACAGTCAGGGTTAATACATCTATAAGCGTTGATGGTGCACTGTGTAACTTTTTGGTTGTGAGCAGCGTCGCCTCTCCACAAATCTGATCTTTAACTTGGTCTGGTTTGGTCTCAATGAAGATAGAAAGGTTTAATGCCATACTGAGAAACATTCCAGACAAAGTAATAACATCTCCATGGAGAAAAGCATTTGACGAACCCTCCACTAGAAAATTTGCACAATACACTTTTAAAGAACACATATTATGGATTTTTCTAAGATGCTTGCGATTAAATGATCACATTTTCTTACTTATAATAATGTCTGTATTTGGAATAAACTCAAGAATAATTCATTTACCTCTATTTCCTCTAAATAGATGCTGGATAGAAGTATTAATGAAAGTATTAATAAGTGTCAATTTTGCATAACGTGTTTTTTAGTGGTTTAAATGTCAACATATTATTGAAGCTTCACAGTTTTACCTAATTTGATGCCA